ACAATGCGGCAAATTTGATGGTATATGGTAGATAACCTTAAAAACTTTATTCAGTCCAACTTGATGACCTATGTCCACCAAGTCAGCGATAATAGAACGCTTAATCACTTATCGAGCACGACGGATGATGTTCTGTTATTCGTTGACGAACTTGCCGAATTGTGAGAACTATATAACTGGCTCCACAGGAGCAGTTGAATTAGTAAATACACATATCATATCATTTTACATCATTGTTTAATGCTGTGACCTCGTCTCTTTCAACTACGATAACTGATTAAAATCTCCACCGCTTATATATTTAGAATATATGAATGGTTCAAGCGAACATATACAAAATCTGTTAAAATTATTCGGTTATGTCTACTGTCTGATAGTAGTATAATTCCAACAAATATTTTAGATTTAATGTGAATTTACAATTATCAATCTTAACGAGAAAAAGGTTACCGCTAATTTATTTCAGAAGAATAATAATTCATAGTTAAAGCCATACATCATTTATTTACTAACATGGTGGGTTGACGTTGTGGTTGATTGAAGACATTCAAAAAATATAAAATATTGGACAGTTTAGTCAAATATAAGGGCGAAAGGTTGTTTTTAGTCTTTATCGATAGCTGGATTCCTAATCAACAGTTCGAAAGATGTTTTTCATAATTAATTTATATTATCAGCTCATGTATCTTTTTTGGGGTCATTATATCGTGAACTGCAGAACAATTTCACATCTTTCTATGTCCTAATATTACCTAGGTGTATTTAATAATATTATAACTAACAAAGAGATTAAATGCACTTAGTATTGTTTGTTTGAATCTTCTCATTGATGTTTAGGACTGTAACTGGTCAGTCTCTAATTGACATATGTGCATACTGTGCGTATTGCCTCGATATAACCTTAATTCACTAGCATTGTAAGCAAATAATGAACAAAAGTTTTATAGAACTAGAAAGGAAGGCACAGGACAGAATACTTTGGAGAATACTGGTCGGCGGTCTATTCTCCATTGGGAGTAACAGGCGTAAGTAAGTAAGTTTATTTATTTATTTCTTTAAACACATAAATATTGGTACAAGGAAACACCAAATACATATGCGCCATACAAATCTCATTCGATTTGTGTGAGGGCTGTGATACTGCCCAGGTGCCCAAACTGAAGCAGGTTGTCTTCTTAGGGGCCCACACCTGGAGCCTTTGACCGAAAGATCTGATCCACAAGGCCGTGGAGCAACGTCAGGAGATGCAGTCCCATGGTAGCCAACGACCAACGGTTCGTACTTACGCCATTTTTTCCTTCAGGATACTGGAGCCCATGTGCACCATTGGTTTGGAATCAGAGTTTTTCAACTCCCCTAGGTGGATCCTCCACATCCACCGACCCGGTTAAAGAGCCGGACATTCGCTTTTCGTCCTCTCACTTTTGTGAACAACACCCCCACCACGAGAAGGCAGTGAGTAGGACTTCCCTGTCAGAGGCTATATATTCGCTGGCCATGTGAGAGTATTTCGAGAGGGAGAGAGGACTCTCCCCACTCTCGGCCGTTCGGAGGCATTTGGGGGCAAGTAAGTAAGTAAGTAACAAAGATTACACACTTATGCTCAGTGTTTTCTTACAACAATTAGATTTATTGATCTTTTAATTGATTTATGGACTATTAATACAGTGATATATAGGAATCAATTTTTCTACTTATAAAGATAAATTATGATGGTTATTGTCATATAAAAATTGGTTAATTGCATTTTTTGTTAATATCCGTTGACAATTAGTTTTATTTTTAAAGGATAAATGAGTCAACCATCTAAAAAAAAATTTTTTTTGTTGCTTCATTGGATCATAAATTTCAAATTATTCAAGCATATTAAATGAGAAACCTTAGTGACTCAGGTTTTTTTTTGGTTTAAGGGTTTGTAAAACAAAAAATACTGGAATAATAATTATTTCATTATTTTTTTAAAGAACAAACTAATTGATATTGTATTATTTGTCTAGTATATAAGGCCCATTAAATGCTGTTAAAATATTATAGAGAGTCTATTAATCACGGTAAACTAGAGTGAGTTTCGAGAGTAGGTTAAATAATATGAAGGGTTTTTTTTTGTGGAGATTTAGTATTTTCATAGTTGAAAGCATGAGGCAATTGAAGCAAGACCACCAAGGAAAACCTGGAAGCACTGGACGGCCGTTTCGTTCTATTGTGGGACTCCTCAGCAGTGCGCATCCACGACCTCGAATACCGGCTCAGTGGTCTATCGGGTAAGTGCTCTGGTGGGAGACTTGTAGGTCCTGGGTTTGAATCTCGTGAGACGGGATTGTGAATGCACACTGCTGAGGAGTCCCATAATAGAACAAAACGGCCACCCAGTGCTTCCAGGTTTTCCTAATGCTTTCAACTATGAAAATATTACAGAAAGTTTATTAACTACGGTAAACTAGAGTGAGTTTCGAGAGTAGGCTAAATAATATGATAAATGGAATTATATATTCATAGATATATAAGGATTCATTTCAACCTGTTGAGTAAATATGGAACCTTCGAAATGTTTCACTCGCTCCTACCTATTACTGAGATTGGGTCAACAAGTTACAACATTATCGAATCGTTGAAGCATTTTTGTTCCAAAAACGTCAATCGTTCATGAATTTCATGGCATTTCAGCGCTTTCGCAATAATGTCAGCTGTAACTTTATGTACATAGCTTGAGGTTTCCATACCTCATTAGCACAAAAAGATGAAATTGTTAAGAGAATTCTCAGAATTATAGAAGTAGTAACAGTATTTATCGTAATAGAAAGGATTAAGCATTGAAAATAAGATTCAAGAAAATATAAATTAGTGAAACAAGTAATAGATTGTGAGAAATTTAGAAGCTTAGATTCTGAGGGGAAAGGGTTGATACATCTCACTCATTCCAAACTATTTTTAGCCATTGGTTACAGTAATCACAAAGATACAAACAAGGTACTCTATATCTATCAATATGGCTCAATCCAATCGTCCATGACTTCATGGATTACAATAATAAATTATTTTCACCGTTTCTTCGTTGGAAGAAATAAAAATAAATTTCATCATGTATATTTTTAATTAAAACGTATTACTAAACCAGAATTTAGGATTAATACACTTTCCCTCTAACTCAATAAAGAAACTTTAAGAAGATTGGATAGTGGCTAGCAGTGGAATCCAGGACGCGTGTTTCGACATATTTGGGACTGGTCAGTTGGATGTACCTGCATCTCGGAATTGATATTCACTGTGGGACTGCAACCCAGTACCGTTCGCTTCAAACGCCATCACGTTATTCACTCGACCAATGACTCCTCATAGTCACTTGCTTGTGCAATCGGTTCAAGTTGAAATTCACTATCTATCTTTGCTTATAATGTTTGTGAATTTAGGCTATGTCGAGGCAATACGCACATTATGCACATATGCCAATTAGAGATTGACCAGTTGCAGTCCAAAAACATCAATGAGAAGATTCAAACAAACAATACTAAGTGAGTTTAAGAAGATTGTTTTTCTTCAAGTGCTTCCTCAGATTTATTTTCATGTTATGAATAGTATCACATTCGTGTTCCACATAAAAATACACTGTTTTGATCAGTATAAGGTTGTGAAGATTGTTAAATTTTTATTGAGAATATGAATCGATCAATATTAGACCGCCATCTCCACAAACATTTAATGACAATTATCATGTGTTACTTGTGACTAGCTTTGAAAACTTGAGAGCATTGGACAGCTGTTTCGTCTAAGTATAGGACTTCTAAACGATGAACACCCATGGTCTCGCACGCGAGACTTGAACCAAGGACCTTCAGTCTAGCACTAACCTTTAACCCCTAGACCACTGAGCCGGGATCCAATGGTGTTGATGTCCAACTTTAACCAATCCATGATAATGTGAAACAATCATTCATTGCCTTTAGCGAGTAACTGTCTCACACCCGATACGGTTTAAATACACTAATCACGGCTTCTCACTAGAACTCTAAGAATTACCTCTCAGTGGTCGTCTAACATTGATCGGTTCATATGCAGTGGATTAACTTCGAGACAATTCCTTAGGTTCCATATATCAATCGCCTACAGAATTAACGAATTCAAGCATTCATATGGTTTGCTCGCGAATTCTTTTTCCCAACTATTACTCTAAGTACGTATTTGGATCATGGAGGTAAGAACTGCCGTATCTAGTATTTATCACTCAAGATTATCTCGAGATATTGCGTTATCGCCATCTGGATTAAACCATAAACTGGAAGGCTTGAATAACAGCTCCAGAAAAAGATAATGTAACACAGTTTTTTTTAAAACAGCGTAACAGATAATGCACCAATTACGGTAATCGTAATAAAGGAAATCAAGTACTCGCTTTAGAGATTACTGCTGACAAGAGGTATATGATTTATTATAAACAGACTTTATTTTTCGCTGCTAAAAAATACCAGGTAAAGTATGGAATCAATATTCAGCTGTGGTGTTTTTTAGACATTTCTAGACCTACATGAATGGTTAGAAGTTTGGATGATTTTTTGCGCAAATAACCGCCGAAACATGTTGTGGTGCTGGCTTAGAACTTAGATTAGCATCTAAGACTTCTTGGTATAGAATAGAGTCGTTTCAATGAACAATGTGGGTTTGTTAGTTTCACATTAAATAACAGAACATTTTAAACATTCAACAGATCTATGTTACTCAGATATTGAATCTCACATTAGTTGCTTAAATAACTTTGTCCAGAAAGATTTGTCTGATTATATAATTTTTAATTAACTATCAGCAAGTTTATTGACTGCTAATATTTTCTCTGATTACTACTACATACTGTTAAAGATTTCTCAGAATACTCCATGCATTGTAGATCAGGTGTGTTATACCCCCAAATAATCGTCACACACACTCTCTCTCTTCGGTTAGTAAATATTTTAACAATAATCAATTAGATTATGAAATTCTCTTATGATAACAACAAAATCAAAGGTAAATACTTTATAATCATTATTTATTGTTTTTCATAGAGGTATTACCTTTTCAAGATAACATCTACCTATATGCATATATTAGCTTTATTGAACTTAAGGAACAATCAACTTTTATTCATGATAGTTATAATTATCAATCATATATATATCCCATAAACTTAGGTAAATACTTCGTTTTATGTTTAACCCAGTTTAATTACAATAATGGAATGAAAGTTGAAGATAGCTAAATCTAAAAAAACAAACAAACAAAATATCTGTCTTAGTTTGGTGATAAAATATTTGAATCTGTTAGAATTTGTGGTGATGCTTTTAAGGAATTGTTCACTTCTCCAGTAGGTGTTTCTAGGTTATCAGATAGTGTTGTACGAACAGCTGTATCATCATGATTAGAAATATGATCATCACTGATAATTGATTTCTCATTTAAATCTGTTTCTTCATGTGAATGATTTTCTAGTGGTTCCTGATTTTCTTGTTCTTCATAATGGTGATGATGATGATGACTGGGACTTGTTTTATTTTTCGATGATTTTTTAACAGTTGAATCTTTAATACCATTGAATTTAATTTTTTCATGTAGTTTTGTCAAATGAACTTTCTCATTTGCTAAAGCTAACCTCCTTATATTACTTATACAACCAGCGCTGGCAGTTTGAAGTTCTGGATCCTTCAAAAAAAAATAAAGAAAGAATCAAGTAAACAAATAAATTCGTTACACAATGACATTTCTTTAAAAGGATTTGTCTTCAGGGCAATAATTTATGGACGAATTAATCATAATTAAGATTGTAACTCATGAACGTTTGTACAAAATTCACTGATCTATTGAATAGGATTTTGACATTAAAATTCATGTCATTTTGTGATGAAAACCCTGACCCTAACCCATAATTTTAACGTCTAACAGTAACTCCCAATACAAACTTCTCAAAGTAATTCATAACCTTATTTTGGATCTAATAAAAGGTCACTTTAGAATTGCTCTTGGTTTGTTTATAAATTATAGTTTCATCTATCTATAAACTCAGAAATTATATTAGAAGATACCATGGTTAGTTGGAGAGCCACTAAACAATATAGATAATATATAAATACTTTGTATATGTTTGGGAATGATAAAATATGTGCACACATGAACGAAACGCTAGTAAAACAAATCAATATGAATCATACGATAAGCACCGTACTATTCAACTATTTTAAGCAAAGATAAATAATGGCTATTAGTGGAATCCAGGAAGCGCGTCCCGTCTTTTTTGGATCTCGTCTGTTGAATTTAGTTGCATCATAGAGTTGTTGTTCACTCCACGACTCAAACTTTGCATCGTTCACTTCAAATGCCATCGCATTTTACACTTTGTTACTAGGTGCAGGCAGCTGATGTGTCCCAAATAGGACAAAACTATTTCTGGATATCATTGTTAGCCATTATTTATCCCTTCATAAAATGCTTATGAATTAATGATAATATTGAGGCAATCTGCATAGGAAGTACAGATGCTAAAAGGAAACTGATCAATTACAGACCTAAAAAACAATAGGAAGATTTAAACAATCAATATATGTATGAATAATTCAACTACTGGGTTAAAATCTAGCAAATACCTTTTACAGAAATAATCTACTGTTCAAGTATCTTAAGTGTTTTGTGGTGCTACAACGGGATACAGATTCAGCTTATCATCGAGGAGGCCAGTAGAGTTAAGTATTAAATACAATGTTTGATTGTCGTAAATCACTTGGTTTTCATGATAGACTTTATGAAATACTCGAGAAGTTTTAAAAATGATGAACAAAACGTTTTGGGTTATAAATATTGAAAAGCATACTAATGTCATCAAAGATGTTTTAATATAAAGCCTGAATAATTCAAACGTTCGCTTAGAAATCAATCAACAATTAACTAGAATTGATACTGAATGTTGAAGGTCTATGATAAAAGAACTAATGACAAATAAATATGGATAATTTCCCAAGAAAATTCATATTTGACATGATTCTTCCTCTAAAAGCGAAAATGAACTCTATGCCTCTATTATCATGTTAGATTAAAGATTATATTAACCTTTAAAAATTGTTGATTACTTACTGAAGAACCAACCATTTGTAATAAATACTTTACCACATTGACTTGATGCATTGAAACACAATTATTTGGATCTCGGCTTAGTTGAAATAATGCTTTCGCAGTTGATCTATGAACATTTGGATCAGATGATTTAAGGTAACGAACAATAGGTATAACAGCACCAGCACGACCAAAATCAATACGATTTGTTCCCCATGTACAACACTTTGCTATAGCATCGGTTAGGGGACATCGAAGGCGATCATCTTTCTATTGAGTTATTTAAAAGACGATAAGAGTACGGTGAATTATAAATGGTATCTGAACTGTTTAATGAGAAACTTTATCTACAGGATATGTTTACTACAAAACAGATAATTACATCTGACATCTTTTATGTTGATTAGATTTTTCGTGTAATAGTTAATAAATTATATTATATTATTATATTTAAAAGAATCCCAGCGACGTTTCGTCGAGCGAACTTGTCTGAACTTCTTTAGGGTAATAATTTTCACACAGATTGTCTTCTTTATACACGGGGCTCAGTCTCTATCAAACTGTTCATTCTTATATTGAAGAATAATCGTAAAAGTCAATGAATTAGTTTTGATAAAAATTTAAGAAGTATTAACTAACAGCGTAAATTGAAGACCGTCGTTTATTGTCATAGTTTGATTGGCTACTGAAAAACAACAATAATATTTCTAACTTGGTTCCTTGTTGAATGTTAATTCTTTTGGTTAAATGTTGTCGATTTCATAACAGAAAGTTCCATTTTCACAAGATAAACTTCATTTAAACTAGCTTGGTTAATAATAAATATATATTTTTTGTTATATCTCAGTGAGTAGAAAGTTTGCATTTCTGACGTTTCGTGACTAAACCTAAGCCGCTTTTTCAGAATAAGAAATTAACCTAATTAAATTAACAAGGTTTAAAGAGTGCATCGATGTTCTCCAAAGAAGCACAAAAAGCGCTTATAGAATGTGAATCTCATGGATCGAGGATCATCAAAGCATCCCTCAAAGCAAAGAAGGAGAGAATGACAACGATTATCATCCAGTGGTATGCACCCACTGATGATGGTGTAGAGAAGATAAAGATCAGTTCAATGGGAAGCTGCAGTTCATTGTAGAGAAATCTTCGGGAAAGGACATAACCAAACAGTCAGAACTAAACGCCAAAGTCCAAATAAAAGACATCAAGTATAAAGATATCATGAGATGACATGAACTGGGACAAAAGAACGAGAATGGAGAGAGATTGCGAATTTGTGTACCTTCAACAAACTCATACATAAAACCATATGGATCTCACCGGACCACACTACAGATAACCAGATCGATCACACTTGAGGAAAGAGCCAACTTAGAATCCTCCAGTTAAAAGAAAGAGAGGTAGACTAAAGGATAAACGGAGATGAAAATTATGGCTAAACATGAAAGAAATGAATAGCGCTTGACAATAGCTGGAAGAAGAATCAAAGACAGAGTTGGTTGGAGAATCACGACCGCAGGCCTCTTCTCCTACACGAGGTGTAACAGACGTAAATAAAACAAAGTAGATCTTATGATATGAGACGTCAATACGCCCTGGTTGTTAAAATTGAGCGCTAATACGAGTAGTTCCTAACTACTTCGTTCCTGTTTATTATAGTTATCATCGTGTATAATCTTTGAAAAATAATGATAAAACAGTTTATTACCGTGTGTGTCAAACGTGATAACAATGGAACTACACCATGATCAGTAATCACAGCTAAATTTTCTTCATCCTCTGCAATTTTCGAAACAGCAGCACAAACAGCAGCTAAGACCTCCAAATCCTTTGAATTTAATAAGCTTACAATTAATTCAAGCCCACCAACAAATGAACGTACTAGTTCACCAGCATCCTGTAGTAATAGTAATGAAGAATGACGAAAAATCACTTAACAGTTGTGTTTGATAAGTTGCTTTGAATATATATATATATATATATATATATATATATATATATATATCAGATGACAGTAGACTGGTCAAAGAATAGTGATTAGTGTCATATTTACCAAGTTCTTCTAGTGTTGACAGAACTTCATCAATGAAGTAAGGCTAGGGTGACTAGTGTACATGGGTTGACATTATGTGCATCATATTGAAAAGTCAGGATTTGGAGGTAGTCGAATATGAACCCTGGGTATGGGTTTCGTGATATCCGATACTAGTTAGAAAGTTATGCCTATAATCTTTAAGAAACTTATGAGCTCTGAAGGAATTAAATCCATGTCATTCAGCTACATAGTAAAAGGAGTTGTTACAGGGTTATTTAGAGTTTCATGAAGCACTGTTTCCCTGAAGATTACGAATACACCTTTCTGGTGAGTGTAAAATACCATGGAACTTTGGTTTAGTTTTCTGTCTACTATTATATATATAAGGAATTGTTACAAAAACAGTAACATTTACAATGAATGTTCTTAAAACAATCCACTCTTTAATTAACTAAAATACTAAATTTTATCACCTAAAAAGTTATTTCTGTTATCTAACGAATTTCAGACGAACTGCAATCGTTTCGTGTAAAACTCATATTAGAGATCAAATAATCCATATGTTCATGACATTATCATACGCTTGTAATTTCCCCCAAACTTCTGTTGACATTGTCATCATTTACTAAGTTTCACGATCAAAGTGGATGATAAATATGTATTCCGCTTACTTGTTTTTATCTCAGTATTACTCATATATTAGTTCTGTAGTGAACGAATAAACAAGTGGGAACAATCAAATGTATGTAAATACAAAAAAAATACAAAATAACTTAGGAAAATCTGAGAACCATACAGTAAATACTTCAATTGCAAAATATTAATCAATCGTCTCAGACTTCAATATTCCCTCATTTCTACAGCAATCATTCTGTGTTCTCGTTCTCTTTTCATCGATCTTCTTAACCTTTTGAATTCAGGTATTTCGCTTTCAACTGATGATACATACTACCTATATCTATCGACATCAGTAGCACACACCACAGTTCTACCACAGAAATTCAATTTTATACAGATTACAATGTTTAATTATTTGTAGTAATTCCGAAATAGTCAAGTATTGAATGATAACCGGAACAGGAAAACTAGACTAACTACTATTTTTTTTTAAAACGTTTTACTAACCGAAATAATTGAGAAACCAAGTTTTTTTTCCAGACAACATATCGAGGTCTTGTTAATAAAAAATAGGGAATGATAGACTGAGTAATGCAGTTATGTATCCTAGATGTAGTTACCTGAATTTCAGTGACATAAACATTTTATCCATTATTTGCAATATATAACTTATCGTGGACATTTATCTATATTTTTTTGTAGTGAAAGTATCCGTATTTCAAGTCTACCATAAATGTTTCATTTGATTGAGATCTATTTATTTTCTAATGTTCATTCCTGGTAGGATGGTGGATGTATATAGTTAATTAGTGCCTTATAAGGACGAAACAAGTGTCTAGTGCATCTTAATTTTCAGTAAATGTTTAAATTATATATTATCAGAAGGGGTTTTTGTAGAGATTTAGTATTTTCATAGTTGAAAGCGGGAGTCTATTGAAGCTAGACCATCAGGGAAAACCTGGAAGCACTGGACGGCCGTTTCGTCCTATTGCAGCGCGAGACTGGTAGGTCCTGAGTTCGAATCCCACGAGGCGAGGTCGTGGATGCACACTGCTAAGGAGTCCTATAAATTATATATGTTCGTGATAAAAACATTCATTGATCTTCCCAGACCTCTGTACTGATAAGTAAAACTGTATAATATTCTTTAACAGCTGGAAAACTGTATCTGTTATTTATCTAATCTATAGCCGATAACGGTTTTATTATTTAGGGAGAGTATGTTTTTTTTGCATCAGAGACCATAATGAGCAATAAATGCAAAGTACTTTGTTTCCTTTTCTTCATTAAGTTCCAGAGAAAAAAAGAAAAGCAATAACTTGGCTAATTATTTGGATCCTAAAGTTAAAATACACACATGTTTGTTTCGGTTGTGCGTAAATATATTTACAGTCTTGTTAGGATTATAGTTATAATACTAGGGATTTAGAATACGATTCAAGAAATAGATAGGAACGATGAAAAACTGAAAAAATTGAAGTGAATCAATGGCGGAAGAGATTATTTCAGAGATAATAACAAATTATTGACAAAAATTAAAGTACGTCTTTTAGGTGGATTCAGAAATGAACTATTTAACATTGTCGACAATCTGGCAGTTTTTTGAAAGCTAAAACTGTGTATGTTTTCGTAAAAGACACATTATCTGTTTATTTATTTTTAACCAGTGTCAATATGAAGGTTTATAAAAGTAGGTCTAATCAGTGATTACTTGTTGGTTTTCGCTGTTTGAAGAAATCTGTATTCATATTGATCTTTATTTTGAATTCCTGTGTCATGAACAACTTAAAATGTGTACATTACATGAGGTCGTCATATGATTATGCATCCAATTGTCCACATTTTCTTTATTGGTTTTTAGTCTTGAACAAAAGCAAAAGATTCTATCTCAACTGCTAGAGGGTTTACTGGTAAAGTTTCTTTATGAGGATATCTCTTTAGTTATGTAATGTAGCGGATCAATAATAAACTGCTACCCAAAAATTTCTAAAATTAAATTTGATTTAGCAACCCTTCATCAAGAGTTGTGTAGTACACAAATAAGAAACTCCACAAACATTCATAATTGACTCTGATAAAGATATCTTAAATTGTTAACAAAATATTCTATTTGATCATTCAGCTGTACGACATATTGTGGTGTAGGCTACTTATATCCATATAAGTAGTATATGGTGATGGTCAGACATAGAATGTATTTCACTAGAAGATCGATAAGGAAAGAACAGAAATGAAGCGAAATCGGTACGAAAATGCATGAACAATGAAATCAGAGAAGACAGACTGACATTTGCAGAAGGAACAGTTAAGTTTGAGACAATTGATTGTTATTTGCAAATTAACTGTTTACTGTATGGCTATCAGAATTTGGTGAGATAGTCTGTAATTTGTGCTTAAATACATTCGATTGTCCGCACTCGTGTTCTTGTTCACTGCAATAGTTTACACTTGATGAAATGGAGGTGATACTAATCTTCCAATTAATATTATTGTATCCGATTGAATATTATCTGTAGAGTACACATAAAAGTAACCTAATTTTTTTTTCAAGTGTCTACTGTGGGATTATAATGTACACGTTTTGAAAATACATCAGTATGAATTATACATGATAGATTTTGGACTAATCGAAGTTTATATTATTTTCATACTGCAGTATATTTGACCATGACCACGTTACAAAAAATACTTCTTCAAATGTGGTAATCTGTTGATCTATTGAAAACCAAGGAGATGGAATTGATTGGATTTATTCTGGGGCAGTTGTTAAAAAACTGGAAAGTATACTGAATGCGACAGTACTCTGATACCGAAATGAGTTTTATGCAAACAAAACAATTATCCATATCATATAAGAATTCTTAAAGATGACAAAGGTGTTATAATTTACAATCGTGTAAATTCTTCATCAATCAGATTGTGATCAGTTTTATTGTTCTTCAAAATTTGGGCGCTTTGTGTCATGCTATTTGTATAGACTTAGTACTTACCAGCAAAGTTAAGATGGGACTTGATAGATGGTACACGGCAATAAATCGTTTTTATTTGGGACAGAACAATCACTAACATGTACTTTCAACAGCGTGTCCGCTTTTCCATAGTCTTCAGTTTAGTGGTAATTAATTTTATAGTCAAATCCAAGTAGGATTAGCTGTTGGAATTACAAAAGATTTTGTTTGTCCTGGAACGCTGCTAAAATCAGCTGAGGATCTATCGTTGGTGTTAATGTTCGAGCCCATGGAAACACCAAACTGTATTTACTATTACTAACGATCCATTATCAGTTTGAGAATATCCTGTTTTCTGAATTCAGCGCCCTAAGATACCTGCATTAAACCTTTAAATGTACTATAGAGGTAAAACTTACTTTCATTTGGCTGATTTAAGACATATGTTTTACCAATCAAATAATCAAACGTTGATAGCATAAAATACCATGCAGGCAAGAAAGCTAAACAGAGACTAATGGGCCTAAAAATATGACCTGAGCAAAAATAAATCTATTATGATCATTCGTCGTATTCCATGAATGTTTTACTTATCATATCGGTTACAATCTATATCAGAGAAAAATGCATCAAAGCGTAATGACTTGTCCTAGTGTAGAGTTTGAATGTCTTTTGTGTAATCTAAGAAAAAATGATTTTAAGATTTTTGAAATATTAATAATAACAGCACAAACCTTTGCATTTTGGATACATGGACATAAAGCCCAAGCAGCATAAGATTGTACTTTTGGATTGGGATTCTTTAACAATGACCAAAGTAAACGCACACCATCCAAATTTTCAATGATACTAGAGAAAATATATAAATTATAGACAAAATATTTATGTATAATTCTTAACAATGTGTTATATCGTGTGCGTGCGTGCGTATGCCCTATTGATATATGAATGTGCTAATCCCCGCCAATCAGAGAGGAGCGAATTATCGATCGGATCAATAATACATGAAGGTCGTATGAGCAGTCTTGAGCACTACTCGGTCCTGCTATCTGCCCGGCCTGGCCAGTTAAGTCCAAAACATCAATAATAGCCTCTGCTACATGAATCATTGTTCACAAACATACTGGGTTTATATACCAATCAAACAGACCTTATCGTACCATAAAATAGAAAATAACATTTGTACAAGATTCAGTCAAAAGTGGCTGTGAATAGGGGGAACGGTAATCAATAGATTGGGGATAACTCAAAAAATGGTAAATCGTATAATAATAGTCCAAAGGTCAAAATAAAGCTCATAATAAAAGGGACACGAGTATGAATAGTTTAGGTACTCAACAACTATACAATAAGAAATATACATATCATATTGGTCTATAGATAGTTCTCAAAGTTACCATTCATAATTCTCCAAGGGATACAACACCTCCACATTTTTGAGAGATCCGGAGTTGATATCCGGATTTTAAATTTCTTGAACTCACAATGATAATCAAATGATATATGGTTACATTTCGTGAAGTTTTTTTAAAAAAAAAAAGAATGTAAAAATTATTTTCCAAATATAGACAACTACAAAACATCCAGTGCTTCCAGGTTTTCCATGGTGGTCTAGCTTCAAATGACTCATGATCTCAACTATCTAAAATGACTAAAATCTCCACAAAACCCCTTACTAATAATGATCATATGCTCACTAATAACTGACTTCAAGAGGTATTTCCTGGAGTTCTAGTGAGAAGCAGTGACAAGTGGAGTTCAACCGGGTCTGTTGTGAGATAGTAACTCACTGAAGACATTAGTGGAAGGTTGCTCAATTTCGTGGATTGGTTGAAGTTAGACATTAACACCCTTGGATGCCGGCCAGCTCAGTGATCTAGTGGTTACGTGATCGCACGCGTGACTGGTAGGTCCTGGGTTTGAATCTAACGAGGCAGGATCGTGGATGCGCACTGCTGAGGTGTCCCATAATAGGACAAAACAACTGTCCAGTGCTTCCAGATTTTCCATGGTGACTCATGAATTCAACTACTAAATTACTACAATCTCCACAAAACCCCTTCTGATCGAAAATCTTTTACAACATATATGACATATAAAATTCAAACAAACAAATTACTAGGAAAACTCTCAACTGATCAATTGTCATTCAAAACAAATATCACATAAAGATGTTTAATCTAACTACTTAATTTATTCATCATAGTTCTAATGCATCACTAACTAATATGTAATAACTGTTATTATTTTGAATATTGGAAACATAACTGACCGACTTCAATATTGTCCTGTTTATCAAGTAGTATTATTATCATTAATACTGTTATTACCGTTATTATTATTATTATTATTATTAGTAGTAGTAGTAGTAGTGATAGTAGTAGTATATTAACAATGAATACATAACTCATTTCTCTACTCTGCTGATGCATTAAATAAATAAAAAAATCAAGTTCATACAATCATGATATGAATAAACTATTGTATTATTAATATTATATACCTGTTATTATTATTAATTTAGACAGAAATGAGAAAAAGATAACAAGCAAAAGTGATTACTATTATATTCATATTAGTAGTATGTTTGTATGGATATAAATATATGTATGCACATTGTAAAAAGAAAAAAAAAGTAGTATATTTAAAAAGTTAATGTAAATGTCGAATATCCATTTGTACATTATCATAAAATATAATCGCATGTAATTCAATATTCTATACAATACAAATATTATACCTTTATATATATACTACTTATTGATGTGATACTATAGATAAACTACTAGTTTGTTGTGTTTTTTTTCTTTATATAAGTAGTATATGAATAAAATATTATTAGAATAGAATATAAATAATAGATAAAAACGTTATTATAGTGAATAGATTCAGCTCATCTTTTACAATGTGTAACAAAACCAATGGATTTAATATGTTTTATTTATCAAATGAACCAATGAAAGTATTAAAAGTTAGTCAACTATTTCAAATAAACTCCGCCTGTAGCTTTTCTAGAGTTACTACCGGTCCTAAGCCCGGGTAAAGAAGGGGAGTTGGGCATAAGGTTATTGACCGCATCTTGTAGAAAAACTAACTGGCTAAAAATCGCTAATCAGAAAAAATAATTCACACCATTTAAACTCTACTCTGGAAATTGAAGGAATAATTATGACACCTCATGATGAAAGCCGAGATTTTTCGGAAGTCACGAGGCCAACGCACCTTCTAACAACCAGAGAAGCAATCTTTATAGGTATATGGAACGTCCGAACAATGTGGGAGACCGGGAAGACCAGTTAAATAGCTGGTTGGTGGCCTATGCTCCTCCACGAGGGGTAACAGGCGTAAGTAAGTAACTATATCAAATATATGTAGGATAAATTATTTTGAGTATTGACCTAGTTAAAATGATTTGCTTTTTCTTTCAATTATTCTATTATTTAATAATATTAACTTGATATGTTGTGTCCAAAAATGTTAATAATAAATTTATTAATTTTGTTACTCTTTAATAATATGATAGTTATATTGATAATAGTGTGTGTATATCATCAATCGAAAGTGAAATGTCTGGAGATAGAAGGTTAATAAGATCGAAGAAAAGAGGATTAGAAGAGAGAGTGATTGGTGTGGAAATGAAGGAACAATGAATTCTGAGACAGTCGATTGACTGATATTTTGCAAATGAAGTATTTACTGTATGGTTCTCAGATTTCACTAAGATGTTCTGTAATTTTATGTTCACATATATTTGATTGTCTCCACTTGTTTATTTGTTCACTACAATAGTATACAACCATTAAATTCACTTATTATGTACAACTTCCTATTGAAGAACTTAAATCACATTTCAGGTGTGAAAGCCAATAACCGCAGTAGATGGGATTGAACCTTTAATCTAATTATTGAAAGTCAAGCGCACCAAACAATAATCCATTGTTCCAGTATGGTAATCTAGTACATTCTTATTTTATAACCAAATTACTATACAGTAATATATTATTTAGATGACATAAATTATAAGAGTTAAAAGATCTGGTAAAATAAAAATGCAGCAATCATAATGCTTGTGTCAATAATTCTGTCATTAAAAATAATACAAATATTGGTAATGGTACTGGGTTCGAGTCCCAGAGTGGGCATCAACTCTGGGATTCAAGTACATTCAGCTGACGAGTCCGGATTAGGACAAAACACGCTCCCTAGATTCTACTGCTATCCACTATGTAATGCTTGTGAATTAAGGCAATATTGAGGCAATCCGTACATGATACACATATGCCAATAAGAGATTGAATAATTGCAGTCCTAAGCATCATTGGGAAGATTCAAACAAACAATACAAAATGAATTTAATATTGCAAACCGTTGTAGTGACCATAATTAAAATTTATCAACCTCAGTCCGCTGACATGAATGAGATCAGTACAAAGTAAAATTTACAAAATTTATTTAATTTGATTGATTTCAGGTGATAAATGTGAAGTAAACTAAATGGTGGAGAAGATTTGTAGCTCAGGTGGATGATTATGATGGAGTTTTGTTATCTGAGCTGAATGGTTTGGTCGTGCAGCTTTCATCGTCCTACTGAACGACATCGTCATCCCAAACTTCGGGTAGAAGTGAAGTGTTTAAATTTCTCCACATGTGATTCATAGCTTGTCCTGTACACCTCGATGTTGATTGGTTCTTGTTGACCTTAAATCTGTCATTCTTTATTTATTTGTTTTGGTTGTATCTCCCATTGGTTTGATATTTGTTCTTATGTTTCTGCATAATTTTCCTGGTCGGTTGATAAATTGGATTGATCTCAATGTGCTCGTTTATTGCTAATTGACCAGCTGTGAACTGCATCTATAGAAATTCAAACACTTCACTTCTACCCGAAGTTTGTGCTGATGACGTCGTTCAGAAGTACGATGAAAGCTCCACAACCAAACCATCCAGCTCAGAGAACAAAACTCCATCAAAAGTAAACAAAATGTTCAGAGTATAAAGAACATGAATTTATTCCATCTCACTGAGTTCTTTTCAGTTAAACATAAATTAGTAGGTTTATTTAGTTCATGATTTTAAGAAATATGAACATGGAAAATAAGAATTAACTTTTGCATCAAACAACAATAAATTGTTTTTTATAGCTTAATTCCTAAACGTTTTGATGAGGTTGTTCTAAGTAATTAGAACTATAATTCTGAAAAACTAAAGATGATGACACGAGTCTTACAAGGACAGGACGATGAAAAGAATTGAAAAGAAGAGATTTGCTTTATTTGAAATCTTTCAAATATTCTGTAATTCAGAATCTTAAATCGCATTATTAACTCAATTATACATCAGCTGATGAATATGAAGTATGCACGATATTTAATAATCGCATTCATTATCTTCAGTAAGGAGCAAAAACAGCGATACTATCTTACTTGTAAGAGTTATGGCTCTGTTTAAATACAAAAGCTGGAACTATGTACTTTTATTTTGAATTATTTTTCAAGTTTGGCTTTCCAAAGCATTTACTGTTATAAGTTATATGGAGATAAGAATTAAACAAAACCATAGGGACTCAGCCTTTATACATCGAATGGAAGTTAATTTGCGACACAGTGCTTGTTCTGTAAGATGAGTTATCGTTTTTTTTTAATTTCAATGAATAAACATTTTGTACGATAAAAAATGAGGTATTGCAAAATGTAATGTTACCTCATACTATCAGCTTCTTCTGCACATTTTCCAACAGCTTTAGTTGTATTCGTAAGAAGTTCTTGATTTGTTCGTGTAAGCAGAGAAACTAATGATGGTATTCCTCCAGCTTTACGTATTGTACTACGATTACTTGGATCTTTGGCCATTTCACTAAGTGCACCGACTACATTTACTAAAACCTAAAATAGAAAATATATTTCAAGTTAAATATTATGAAGAAAACATTTACTATTCAATAGACAGACATTGTATTCACAATCAATAGCTTGTAAGTATAGAAAGTATAGAAATCTACCAGTTGAACATAATTCTGAACAAATTAGATTGCAGATAATTACTCTCAGATCTTGAAATGTAAACTTCATGGAAACCTTCGTTAACTTCATGAAGAACTTGCCAAAGAGAATTTGATAGATCATTAAGTGATAAATAATGATGAGAGATTTTTGTTCCGTATTGGAGTAGAAGTATGTTGTGTATATGTAAGTAAGCTCTAGATTATAACTTGTGATGCTGTCACATGTGTATACCAGTGTTTTTTATTATTCATTTAAAGTAAACCGGTACACAAACCACGCTACAGTCATGCTCTGACAATTATATGATGTACAAATATTCAATTGGTCTCCTATACTAACACTAAATTATTGTTCGGTAATGTCCTGTTCGGTTAATGGTCACTTAGCATGTACTTTTACATCATGGAACATATGCATATCCTTCTAAAACATCAATGGGGGGATATTTATTTGGTTTTTTTTACCAATTTTGTTTGGTTTTTACAATTTGAATGGGGATTATGAGCCATAAAATGCGTAATGATTTTAAAAGTACCCAGTTTTCATTGATTTTCCAACAGATTTATACTTTTACCTATTTGGATGCTCATTTACTAGTTAGTGGTACAAAAGACTCAAGGAGATTTGTTGTGTGTCAAAGTATGATACAACTATATATTCTAAACGAACCACTTTCGTGTCCCAGTTTCATAGTTGACTATTTGTTAAGGCAGTCAACCTTGACAATGGAAACATCAAATTGATTTAATATCCTTTGTTTGCCTAATGCTCCCCTAGGACACATGTTGATCATCAGAACTTATCTGTGGGGATAAATCAATCGAAATAATAAATTTCCTTTCCTATGTTTATCAAAAGGTGAACTTGGTTCCATTTTAGCTAGAACAGAATATTTTCATTTTAACTAGATCACATTTGAAATCTGTTCGATTTGATTACTCATAATCCATTCAAATGATATACCATAGTTTATCAAAGTGCTCATTTAAAGTATTGATGAAAGTTTGGGAAACAATTAAGACTTTTAAAAGAAGTGTATGAGATTTCTTAAAGAGTACATATAAATACATGTTTAACGAAACAAACTTTGGATACAGATCATTAGTACTTGAAAATACTACTGATTTTCTTGATAATACGGATAGTTATCAACAACAACAAAATCACATTACATAGAAGCTTTACGACTGATTAATGTTGATAGAAGAATAACAAGACATGATGTTAAGAATTGTTTATTGTTATATTTAATCAATTTTAAAAAGTGGTTACTATAGTCGATTTTATAAACTGATGAAAGATAATCATATATCATCAGACTATAATTTTCATTTGTATCTATGTGAAGTTATCTCTTTATTATTGACCGATTTCAGTTGAGAAACTATTCACATTCACTTAGTATTGTTTGTTTGAATCTTCCCATTGATGTTTAAGACTGTAACTGGTCAGTCTCTATTTGGCATATGTGCATTCTGTGTGTATTGTATCGATATAGTCTTGATTCACAAGTATTATTAGCAAAGATGGATAGTGGCTAGCAGTGGAACCCAGGACGCGCGTTTCATCCTAGTTGGGACTCGTCAGCTGGATGTACCAGCATCTCAGAGTTGATGTGCACTCTGGGACATCAATGGGAAGATTCAAACAAACAGTACTAAGTAAATTTAAACTTCACACCATTGCAAAAGCAAGTGGCTAACGAGACTCAGTGACCGAGTGGATAACGCGATGGCGTTTGAAACGAAAAGTACTAGGTTCGAGTCCCGGAGTGAACATCAACTCTGAGATGCAGGTACATCCTGCTGACAGGTCCCAAATAGGACGAAACGCGCGTCCTGGATTCCAGTGCTAGCCACTATCCATCTTTGCTCACAATAACTATTCACATTATTATAAAAGATTCAAAGATCAGGTGGTTTAAGAATAACAGTCATTTAGAGTAGATTTATTTACTAAGCATAATGCTTTATGTTTAAACATGCATCCTGGAAAATACATTGAAAATATTTGAATTTTTTCACTTGGTTTAGATAAGGTAGTAACTGTCAGTATTAAGACTTTCTTAAATTGTGATTTATTTTATTTTCGAAACTAACAATATTCTAAATCGTTTTTTAAAGCGTTCTCTCTTTGTTTTCCAGACAGGAAGGTCATTTTTGACTCCATGGCATTTCATTGGAGTCACAGAATACTGAATAATTTTTTATTTTCAGAAATGGGATTTTTTGGAGATTGTAGTAATTTAATAGTTGAATTCATGAGTTGATTAAAGCTAAACCACCATGAAAAACCTAGAAACACTGGATGGACATTTCGTCCTAGTATGAGATTCCTCAGAAATGTGCATCCGCGATCCTGCTCATGGTGCTCGAACCCAAGACATTCGGTCGCGTGCTCGAACGTTTAATCTCTAGACCACTGAGCTGGCATCCAGCGGTTCGAATCCGGCGAGCGGGATCGTGGAGGCGCACTGCTGAGAAGTCTCATATTAGCACGCCCGTTGTTTCCAGGTTTCAATGTTGGTCTAGCTTTAATTGACTAACTAATTTATCTATTAATTTTTTTATTTATTCAGCAAATAAGCAATCTGTTAGGTAGAATACAACTTTCATGTTAGATTGATAATTACTGTTAATTAATATCAAGATATAATTAATCTTAATATCTATATGGGCAATATGGCATTACCTGTTTAACGGTTACCCAAGTTTAAACGATATTTATTAACCATTCCATATTTTCAATAATTTGCAAATATCTCTAAGTGAAATTTATTTATGTAATACTCTCTCATTTGATTTCATTTTACAAACCTGATCCACTAACTTCTTGAAATCAATGGATTATTAATGTCATGCAAATAGATTTCTAGACAAAAACTGACTGAACAGTAAAATCTTTTCAGTAAAAAAAACTTTCGAAATTCAAGAAGCTAAGATTGTTAAAAGTCAATCCATCATTCAAACTAAGAAGATTATCATTTACAATTAATTACAAGCTTTAGTTACGAAGTTTTCTTATAAATCAGAATTGTAAAACATTAAATACTTGTAGCAGGTGTTATTTCTCTCATAAAAAACAGAAGCACTTCTATATTGGCTATAAAATCAAAGGAACGACAGAAAATTGGGTAGTTATTTCACCTTAGTTAAGGATGAAGTATTACACCTTCCTCTTATCATTTAGGTTTCTTGGCAGGCACAGTACAATTTAGCCAGAATATAACTATCCATATATTCAAAATTCATAGAATTCGGTAAATAGCGAATATATAGCCTCTGACAGGAAAGTCCTACTCACTGCCTTCTCGTGGCGGGGGTGTTGTTTACGAAAGTGAGAGGACGAAAAGCGAATGTTCGGCTCTTTCACCGGGTTGGTGGACATGGAAAGTTCACCTAGGGGAGTTGGAAAACTCTGATTCCAAACTAATGGTGCACATGGGCTCCAGTATCCTGAGGGAACAAATGGCGTACGAATCGACCGTTGATCACCTGCTACCATGGGACTGCATCTCCTCACGATGCTCCACTGCCTTGTGAATCAGACATTCAGGTCAAAGGTTGCGGGTGTGGCCCCCTAAGAAAACCACTTGCTTCAGTCTGGGCACCTGGGCAGTATCTCAGCCTTCACACAAATCGAATGAGATTTGTGAGGCGCATATTTATCTGGTGCTTCCTTGTACCTATATTTATGTGTTTAAATAATAATAATAATAACAAAATAGCCTGAGTACCATTCATTGTTATTAGTGATGACTCGTTTCAATTCTTACTTGAATGACTCTATAAGTCAGAGCTTCGTACCACAACTTGAAACCCATCACTGAACAAATCATTCATGAGCAAGTTATGATAACTCAGTTACTAGCCTAACTAAACTGTTCAGTGTTTTATAACTCCTAATGATTATTTGATTAGTGCTAAACCTTAATGAAAATTCTCATAGAAATCAATGACCTTAAATGAGTTTTATTAACCAAACAACCGGAAATGGTATAAAGGATCAAAATCATTAAATTTAGTAAATATGTGAAATTAAGTTAATTACCACATTTGCCTTATGAATTATTTGAAGAATAATCTTAATTCCAATTATTATTAGTGTAATCTATATCCTTCTATTAACAGTTCAGTCTGTACAACAACAACAACAGCATTGAAAACATGAATTGAAAAATAAACTAATATTCCTAATAAATAATTAGAATTATCTAGTAGCAATTTGAAGAAGTACCGGATATTATAATGTAGTAATCCGTTAATGTGTATAGTAAGGTTAAGGTAATGATTTGATGAGATAAAAATCAAGTACTGTATTGTATCAAGTGAACACTACTTCACTTTGGGCACCTGCATAGTATCATAGCCCTCAAACAAATCAAATGAGATTTGTGCAGTGCATATATATCTGGTGCCCCCCTTGTACCAATATTTATGTGTTTAAATAAAATAAAGTAAATCAACTGTTTCATAGAGTTGAGATCATGAGTCATTTGAAGCTAGACAACCATAGAAAACCTGGAAACACTGGACGGCCGTTTCGTCCTATTATGGGACTCCTCAGCAGTGCTCATTCACGATCCAGCCTCACGAGATTCAAACCCAGGACCTGATAGTCTCGCGCCAGAGCACTTAATTATTATTTAAAATTATGAATAAAATGATATATGGTTTTGACTAGGAAAATTTAGAAAAAGCTTGGAAATTGCAGTCGAAAAGTGGTTTCATAGAATAAAATAGTCAACTGTTAGACAATAAAGCGATCTTTTAAACCTAATCACAGTTTATATGTTTTATATATATGTTTTTATGTTTTTAAAACAAGAATTCGGATCAATTGAGAGAAAATTTAGTTGTCTTAGTGATATGTTAAGTTTACTATGAACATAATTTAGTATTTGGAAACAAGAAATAATTGGTTGGTGTCAACATTGAATTGATTCAAGAAAGTTCTATTTTTAAACGATTTCCGCTTAGTGAATGAAATATTACGTGACTTAGATCAATAGGCATTTTGTAACTTGATCAACATTATACTGAACTACTCAGCAAACATAAATTTGATCCCTATTCATTGATAAAATCAATTACAGATTTGAATTATTTACATAAGATTTCATTACTCAATAGATAAATGAATGTTATTACTTCTGTCATATGTGAAATATAACTAAATTTTAACAGATTGATTAAATACACTTATGAGCTCATTATATCATTATAATATCCTAATTAAAGTGATAAATGTTTTTCTATGAGACAATTATTTTAAATATAACAGAACAATAAACTGCTCCACTGCTATTGTAGTGAACGAGAACACAAGTGAAGACAATCGAATGTATGTGCGGTGTATGCTACTTATGCTGACAGATATAAGTAATATGTAGCACCAATCATAGGTGGAATGTCTGGCAGCAGACAAGTGAAATTTTAAAAAAAAACAGGAAAGAAATCGAAGAGAAATCAAAACAACAATAGAATTGGATGAATAATGGAGTATGCCAAGGAGAACCCAAATAAGCTATGAAAATAATGTATTTAATGTATGATTTTCATATTTTACTAAGCCACTGTGTAGTTTTGCATTTAATAATAAATTGATATTCGCTGATGAATCTTCGTTTACTACATATATAGTAGAAAATAACCTATCGAGTTCAGTATCGACCCAATTCCTACTATCGTCAAGCTCACAATTACTTATGAGAAGTAATGAAAATATGGTGCTAACAAATTTATAACATAATATAACTTACTTCTTCTGGTTGTTCATTCAATAAACCAACTAATTGTTCAATTGTTCCAAGTTTTTGAAATTGTTTTACATTTTCTTTTGAAATTGCACATTTCCAAATAGCACCAGTAACAGCTGCTAATAATTCTTTATTAGATTGTTTACTTAACAATGCTACTAATGGTTCTAAACCATTATATGTACGAACTAGATCACGTGTTTCCGGTTCTTCTGCACACTTTATAAGACAAATAAATAAGTTCCAAACTATTTAGAAATATTTATAAACTTTTCATTCCATAAAAAATATTTAAAATTTACATGGTGCAATAGAAAGTTGGGTAGTTGTAGCATTCAAACCACCATGTTTATGAAAAATACAGTCTTGTCATAAATGAGACAAGAGAGAATAAAAGTGTCTTGTCTTATATAGTTAAGATTGTGGGTCAATTGAAGCTAGGCAACCATGGAAAACCTGGAAGCACTAGACGGCCGTTTCGTCCTATTGTAGGACTCCTCAGCAGCGCGCATCCACGATCCAACCTCGCGAGATTTCAGGTTTTCCATGGTGGTCTAGCTTCAATTGATTCATGATCTTAACTATATTAAATTACTAAAATCTCCAGAAAACCACCTTGTGAAAAGTGTCTTGGACTGAAAATTTAAAAAAAATTTTCGGTGTCCCTACGTTACCATCTTAATATAATTTATGTCACTTATTAAAGATCGTGTTCTCTATAAATTCTAACAAATAGTTCAGTTGTATGAGTGTCACATTATCTTTTAAAGTGATCAAGGTTTTCTAAATTTATTTACAAGGCTTATAATCAATCATTCCAAGTAAAATATGTTATTCTGTAGCCTGTAGCTCCTCTGGGGGCTACTCCCGGTCCCAAGCCCGAGTAAAGCAGGATGGTTGGGCATGGGGTTATCGACCCCATCCTGTAGAAAACCAACTCGCTAAAAGACGCTAACCAGAAAAAATTATTGAAGCCACTTAAACTACGCCCTGGGAGTTGAAGGAATAATTATGACACCTCATGATGAAAGCCGAGTTCCTTCGGAAGTCATGAGGTCGATGCACCTTCTAACAACCAGCGCAACAATTTTTATAGGCACATGGAACGTCCGGACAATGTGGGAACCGGAAGAGTCTTCCAAATTGCTGCAGAAATGAGGAAATACAAGCTTGAGGGGCTTGGAATCAGTGAAACGAGAAAGCATTCGATAGCGTGGACAGGACTACACTATGGGGGCTTCTTCAACACTACGGCGTGCCTGAGATGGTAGTCAATATCATACGGAACTTCTATGATGGATTAAATTACCAAATCATCCATGGAGGGCAACTCACCGACTCATTCGAGGTAAAGACCGGTGTCAGGCAAGATTGCTTACTCTCACCCTTTCTCTTTCTCCTGGTGATCGACTGGATCATAAAGACGTCAACATCTGAAGGGAAGCATGGGATACAATGGACAGGTAGGATGCAGCTGGACGATTCAGACTTCGCAGATGATCTGGCTCTTCTATCACAAACGCAACAACAAATTCAGGAGAAGACGACCAATGTAGCATCAGCCTCAGCAGCAATAGGTCTCAATATAAACAAAGGGAAAGGAAAAAATCTCCAATACAATACAACATGTACCAATGGAATCACACTTGACGGAGAAGCTTTGGAGGATGTGAAAACTTTTACATATCTGGGCAACATCATTGATGAACATGGTGGATATGATGCAGATGTGAGGGCGCTGATCGGCAAAGCAAGAGCAGCATATTTACAACAGAAGAGCATCTGAAACTCAAAACAATTGTCAACCAACACCAAGATCAGAATTTTCAATACGAATGTCAAGACAGTTCTAGTGTATGTGGCGGAAATCTGGAGAAATATGAAATCCATCATCCAGAAGATACAGGTGTTTATTAACAGTTGTCTACGCAAGATACCTCGGATCCGTTGGCCAGACACTATCAGCGACAAGCTACTGTGGGAGACAACAAACCAGATTCCAGTGGAGGAAGAAATCAGGAAGAAGTGCTGGAAATGGATAGGACACACATTGAGGAAGTCACCCAACTGCGTCACAAGACGAGCACTAACATGGAATCCTGAAGGCCAAAGGAGACGAGGAAGACGAAGGAACACATTACGCCGAGAAATGGAGACAGACATGAGAAGAATGAACAAACGTTGGATAGAACTAGAAAGGAAGGCACAGGACAGCGTCGGTTGGGGAATGTTGGTCGGCAGCCTATGATCCATTGGGAGTAACAGGCAAAAGTAAGTAAGTAATTAACTTCAATTGATTCATAATCTCAACTATTAAAAATAATATACATGTAATAACTTAATGAGTAGAAAAATTACATTTTCTAACATTTTGTAATTCAATGTAAGCTAATATAATTGTTCTACTCATTAATAACAATCTACCAAATGCTTAATTAATCTGAAATTATAAAGTAAAGCCTTTGGTAATGATACCTATGAAAGTAACATTTTGCATATTTAACTTTCAATTCAACACTGTGCTGAATCTTATAATTTATTAAATTGATTAATTATGAAAATAATAAATTTACTTTAAATATAGTTGAAGCACAATGCATTTGAAGTTCATCATTGTCACGTTTTAAATTTTTTACTAAATCATTAATCATACCTTCTGTACGAATAGCAATACGATAACTTTCCTATTTTTAAAAGAAAGAAAAAAGAAAAGAAATATAAATAACATATTTCATTATAAGCAAAGATGGATAGTGGCTAGCAGTGGAATCCAGGACGCGCGTTTCGTCCTTTTTGGGACTCGTCAGCTGGATAAACTTGCATAAGAGACTGACCAGTTGCAGTCCTAAACATCAAGGGGAAGATTCAAGCAAACAATACTAAGTGAATTTATATTTCATTATAGTGTATGTATATTTGTTGTTAATCATGAATGTGTTAAGAAGACAAAAAAATAATAAAATAACTTGCACAGGTTAGAAGAATCAAATACATAGTAGTAGTGTAGTGAACGAGAACACAAGTAGGGACAATCGAATGCATCTGAACAGTTAAATTACAGAATGTCTCAGTAAAATCTGAGAACTATACAGTAAATACTTCAGTTGCAAAATATCAGTCAATCGGTTGTCTCAGATTTCATTGTTCCTTCTTTTCCACACCAATCATTCTCTCTTCTCATCCTCTTTTCTTCGATCTTCTTAAGCTTCTGTCTTCAGGTATTTCACTTTCAATTGATGATACGTACTATTTATATCTGTTGACATCAGTAGCACATATCACACTATTTTTATACTCGTTATATCTACTATTTATTATTGTGTAACAGAAATTGTTGAAGTCAACTTACGATACTACTATTACATGTCTGAATACAAATATCTAGCATTTATTATTATCAGCATTGTCATTTAAAATTTCATAATGAACGAATTAAATGTGATCATATTATTGCATTTAATTTATATAACTACCACAGGAGATTACTGAAATGTTTAATGCTTATTGGTTTTAGAACATGGGAATTGTGAATAATGCTTAGTTGTAGTAGTGTAGTAACGTTTCTATATTCTTATAAAGGTTCAATCTTCGCCTGACTACTTTCACGTGAATAAGTCAGTCAGTCAGTCAGTCACAACGTAGAACTTCGTACGTACGTACATCAATTCGAGTTGCCATACCACATTAGCACACAGATGCAGTTGTCGAGTCAAACCCTATAGTGGTAAAAGTAGTAAGAGTATAAGCATTATGTGAAAGATTAGGGTTTGAAGATGTTATTGAAGGAGTATAATACAGTGAAATAAATTTAAAAAGGGAAAAAGGATGGGAAAATGAAGAATTCAGAAGATTAAAATTTTGTAGAACACAAAGAGTGGATGCACCTTCGCCATTGCAAACGATTTTGAGCCATGTCATTCAAGGTCTCTAACCATCGATTGCTATCATCTCACGAATTCCAATCAGGTAGTCTACACCTACCAACATGTCTCAGTCCAATTGTCAGTGACTTCATCGTTTTGTGCCACGTTTTGGTCTGACTGCCTCCAGCTTTCTCCCAACGTGCTCCTACACCATGAAACAGTGCACGTCGGGGCAGTCGTTGGTTGGGCATAAGTAACACCTGTCCCAACCATCTCAACTGATGAAGTTTCACTACTTCATCAATCGATTTACCATCCTTACCTAGTACCCGTTTCCTAACAACTACAATACTTACCCGGTGGTCCCAGGATATACGAGCAATGCTTCGTGGGCACCTATGATCGAATACTAGTAGCCTACGAATATCCTCTACTCTTATCGGCCATGTTTCGATGCCATAAATTAGGACGAACCGAACTGCTGCACAGTAAACCCGTCCTTTTGTTGCTAGACGGATATCTCGCCTACGCCATAAATGACGCAAGTTGGCGAAAGCTAGACGAGCCTTCTGTATCCGTGCTGAGATTTCGTCACACACTAGACCACAAGGGCTGATGAGACTCCCAAGATAAGTGAAGCTGTCAACACGCTCAACTACTTCACTCCCTATCATTAGTTCAGGTGTCGATGCAACCCAATCCTGAAGTAACATTTTGCACTTCGAGGAAGAGAATCGCATCCCAAACATGCCTACATAGTTGCTTATAGTGGTCAGAAGACTCTGCATTTTGTCAGCGTCTTCACCAAGTAAAACTATGTCGTCGGCGTATTCTAAGTCAATAAGTAAACCTCCCGGTAAAAGTTCAACTCCAGATGACTGAGATGATGAAAGTGTTATTTCTAATAGCACGTCAGCGACAAAGTTGAACAAGAATGGAGAGAGTGGACAGCCCTGACGAACACCACTTGAGGTAACCAATTACGATGACAGTTCGCCATAGGCTCTAACTCGACCAGTTGTGTTCGAGTAGAGAGCCTTTATGAGGTTAATGTACTTCTTTGGTACTCCTTTCAGTAACAAACACTGCCATAGAACCTTACGCCTTATGGTCAAGAAATACTACGATTGTGGGGCGTCTGAATGTGTGTCTATGTTCCAGGACCTGACGTAGGGTGAATATCTGGTCTATACAACCACGTCCAGGTCGAAAACCAGCCTGGTTTTCTCTAGTCTGCTCTTCACGAGCTTTGGTTAGACGTCCAAGTATTATTGAAGCTAATGTTTTAGACACTATATTGGTCATGTCAAAAGATGTTTATCCTTATGCTTAAAGTTAGTATTTGCAAGAAATAGGCGGTTATCTGAGCATAACTGCAACAGACGGTCGCCACTATCTGTTTTTTGAGCCACAACACCATAAGATCCACCAGGTGTCTTCCCATTTCACTTAATTTACCTGCTTGAGCATTAAAGTCACCAGCTACTATTACTACATCAGAACGCCTAGCTTTTCGGAGAAGGTCGGAAAGTTTCCTGTAGAACTCATCTTTTATATAGTTTGAGCTGCAGTCAGTGGGAGAGTAGGCAGAGACGATGAAGAGGAGACGACGAGTTCCCCTATCTTTCCGAGTCCTTACTGATCCGTTTAGTCGGACAGCGAATAGACGACTGTTTACTTGGATCCAGTCTAAAAGAGCTAGTTCTGCCTTAGGACTTAATGCTATATCTACTCCAGCGAGGCCACGGGAAGCAGTATCAGGGCTTCCAGATACACGAAGCGTGTATCAAGATGGTTCTTTATTTTGATTAGGTGAGGTCAAATCAATGACGCTACTCGGATCTTGTATGCGCGTTTCGGAGACGCAGCACACATCGATAGTGTAAGATTCTAAAGTCCTAGCTAAGAAGGCCTGTTGTCCTATTTGGCACAATGTTCGGACATTAAAAGTTCCTACATGTAGTTTAGAGCGTGGTTTCAGGAGACCAGGAATAACGTCCCGTGTACTCGAATCGTTTGCCCTAGCGGTGCGAGGTGATAAAAGGACGTGAAAAGGGTTAGTCGTGGAGATAAGAGAGTTATTAGGTGTAGGAAGGATTTGAATGTGACCAACTTGGTCTCGTGTACAGTTACGGGTATGAGGGCTAATATCACTTCCCGGCTGCCCAAACCGTGGAAGGGTGATTCTTGAGGGACCTGAAAAGGAAGTTGGATTGGTGTTGGTCTTAACGACCTGGGTGCGTGACCGCAGTGCCCAAGGGACAACTGCTTGAGGCCGGTCACGCATGTCCTTTTTGTGGGGGGGAGTTGACGTGTTAGCTCCGTTCTTCAAAGGACCTTACCGCCGGAGACGGAAATCAGTGGGATAGGGCGAGGTGTGCATTTTTAGGGTCGACATTTTCTAAACCCACCCCTTCTTGTGGGAAGGCAGCATCGCTGTTATGCTGGTTGTCTGAAGGAAACAATTTACTGCCGTCACACCTCTATACAGTCGGCAGCACGACTTCGCCTTCGGACCTTGTGATTGCTGCTTTTAGTCTTACCGCTCTTCAACCGACCTGTCTAGCATGGTAGGACCTTGAGGAACGATTGTTCCAGCCAGTAAAGCTCGATTGGTTCATCACGATGGGCAAGCCCGACCACCACGTCAAGGTAGCAGCAACGGTGTAGTTCTAATGAGAAGCCATGTTGAATGGAGTTAAACCGTGTTGGGAGTGAGATAGTTACCAACCAAAAACACTGAAAGTTGATCGCGCAATATCCCCACCCGTGTTCTTGTTCACTACGGTATTAGGGTTGACTATAATCTGAAAATACAAACCCCAGAAACTAATTTATTGGAATTTTTATCAAGTAATTTTTAACAGTGGTCTATAATTTCTAAAAAACCATAGTTGTATGATACGAAATATTAAAGATGATTAGGTGAGACCATAATTTATGGAAGATCTTTCAGCGGAGCTAAAGTGACCTTGAGAGCGTTCACCTAAAAGCTAGAACTAAATGATAATTATAAACCAGTGTGAGGAATTAAAGTTATGATTTACAGTTAATGGTTAGGATTAGGAATTACAATCAGAGTTTTCATCACGAGCTGATATCAGCTAAAATGTCAAAATGCTATTTAGCCAAATGGATGAATAAATTTCGTGCAGAAATACAAGACTAGTTATATTATATCTGATTGATTCGTTTGTAAATTATAGTTTCTCCACTGCTTTGTCTATTTGAACTCACAATCTGTTATATCTGAAGCGTACAATTCACTAGTTAGCGAAAGGAACAAAGACATGTGACCAGAGACCAATAAGCTAGCTATTCTGACGAGTCCCAGACCCAGCTAACTAGAGTAAGAAGTCCAAGTTGGAAGCGGAGAAAATATATTCCGTAGCAGACAGAAGCTCAGCAATAGTAAGGGGAAAAAATCAAACGTATATATACAGCAATAAATTGTCCTTGGGCGGCATTACAAAACAACACACTCAAAGATACAACGGACCAATGGCGTTTAAGATATTTTACAAGTGAGAAATTCGACTAGAAGGTGAAAAGAGCGCTTTTGGCGCGAAAACAAAGAAATTCAAATTTTCAAAATAAAATTACGAAATTAAGCCATTTACCAAGTAAGTTCTGGGGATTTGACATCCCCAACACAATCAACGTGCTTTGATTGTTTCAACTATAGAGTAGTGGCTTATTAATTGACAATTTTTCAATCGCTCGAAAATAACTGACTTCGTTTGTAACATTCTTGAATTAAGCAGCCTGATACTATCAGTAGTTCTCAGACACCAAAATATGACTGAATTATGAGAACATGAACCTACAATTGATTACTGATTTACATCAATTCGTTATTTATTTCATATTAGATAGTATAGAGTTTCAAACAAGCTCAGTTCTGATCAACTACCCAAGAAAACTAGTTAAATTTGCAACTGATAATTAAAATCACACATATAAGAGACAGATAGGAATTATATTTCATCATCTAAACATTTCCAAATTGTCATTGTGTTAAAGACATGAAATTCAGGCAGTAAATAACTTACTTCAGAAGCACATTCTTGTAATGTTCCAACAACTGGAATAAGCATATTTTCATGTGGAGATTTTAATAGACGAACTAATAATGATATGACACCTGCACGTTTCATAGCTAATTTATTCTTTCTAGATTTACTGCATGACCATAAAGCTAATGCACCACATCGTGCTACTTCAATATCTCGTTCAACTTCACTAGTCATTGGTACACTATTTAAACTTGGACAGTCGAGTAAAGCAACCTAAAAATAATCAAAATTATGCATGAAAATCAATAACTATCAAGATATCGTGTAAGTTACATCGGGCATAATTATTATTTTAATGAAAGTGCCTTCAGTCTTTAAGACTAACTGTATAAGCAAAGCTTTATAACTGAATATGAAAACACTGAATGGTATATAAGCAATGATGAATGGTGGTTAGCAGTGGAATTCAGGAAGCGTGTTTCGTTCTATTCGGAACTTGTCAGCTAAATTTACCTGCGTCCCAGAGTTGATGTTCGCTCAGGGACTCGAACTCAAGTGGGACGAAACGCACATCCTGGATTCCACTGCTAGTCACCATTCATCCTTGCTTATAAAGCTTGTGACTTAAAGCAATATCGAGACAGTCCGCACAGGATGAACATATGCCAACAAGAGACTGATCAATTACAGTCCTAAACAACAATAGCAAGATACAAGCATGCAATATCAAGCGAACTAAAAAATATATTTGATCAAAAAACTGACTTTTATGAACAATCATTGTTATCGATCTAATCATTCAATCCTGCAGTAGATCACAGTTTATTACCTTTAAATTATACTATATAGATACATAGATTTATTGTACTAAAGCCACTTTTGTCTGAACCAAAAAGAAGAACTTATTCCAAATATGATCTAACAGTCATTGTATAACTCATAGCAAAACAGATTAAAGCTTCATTATTGTCTAATATTTAACTTTTTCTGAGAACATAATGTAAGAATTTGTAAAGAGTGTAGTTTCTATAACTTATAGGAACATTTATTGATTCATCTTATAGTCAGCATGAAAATCTTTATGTGATCTTTATGTGGGTTCAAGTCCCAGAGTAAACATCAACTCTGAGATGCAGGTACATCCATCTGATGAGTCCCTAGTAAAACGAAACGCGCGTCCTGGATTCTACTGCAAGCCACTATCCATCTTTTCTTATAAATCTTATAATTGGTCTGTATTCATAAACAGTAATCACCTTTGAACCTTTAGTACCATTTCAGAAAAATATACGACTCATTTTAAGCAAGGATGGATAGTGGTTAGCAGTGAAATCCAAGAAGCGCGTTTCATCCTATTTGGGACTAACCAGTTGCAGTCTCAAGCATCAATGGGAAGATTCAAACAAACAATATTAAGTGAATTTATACGACTCATTTCTTCATTATATATTGGATAATTATTGTTAGTAATCTTTCCTGTCTTACTATTTCATATATCCGAATTCTCTATGAACCAAAATACAATAAGTAATCAACTGTTTACATATATAACTCCATGAATCAAGAAAAAGATCAATTCATTTAATCGTCTACATAAACTTACCAAATATTTTATACCACCATATTGTCTAACTGTACGTCTTGCTCTATGACAATTAGCCACATTTGCGATAACTTCAGCACATAAACATTTCAAATCACGATTTAGACTACGTAATAAATTGACAAGTGGTTGTAAACCGCCAATATCAGTAACAGATTTACGAATTTGTGGATTTTTAGTAATTTCTTTTAAAATTTTCAATGAACCAAGCTGAATTAAAACAAAACATGAATTAATATATAAATTTATTGTATAACTATGATTAGTCAAATTTTTATCTTAGTTTCATTTCATAACATTTAAATAATTGTTTGCATAGGACAAAAATGGAAAACCTGGAGGCACTGGACGGCCTTTTCGTCCTATCATGGGACTCTTCAGCAGTGCGCATCGACGATTCCGCCCCGCGAGCGAGACACGAACCCAGGACCTACCAGTCTCGCGCCAGGGCACTTAACCAATAGACCACTGAGCCGGCCGGCATCCAATGGTGTTAATGTCTAACTTCAACTAATCCACGAAGTTGAGTAACCATTCACCAATTGTCTTGAGTGAGTTCTTATCTCACAACAGACGTGGTTAAACTCCACTGGTCACTGCTTCTCACTAGACCTCTAGGACATGTATCTTGAAGTCAGTCGCTAGTGAGCATATAATTATAGTCAGAAATGCTCTGGTGCGAGACTGAGTGGTCATGGGTTCGAATCTCGCGAGGCAAGATCGTGGATGCGCATTTCCGAGGAGTCCCATAAAAGGACGAAACGGCCGTCCAGTGCTTCCAAGTTTTCCGTGGTGGTCCAGCTTCAATTGACTCATGATTTCAACCATGAAAAGCAGTAATTAATCGAATATGAAAATTAATTACAGGAATTTATCAATAGCTTATTACTTCTTCCCGTTACAAAATTCTCTCACTTTACAAAAGAAATTACTGTTAGATAGTAATGTTATTTATTTTAGAATGAAAATAACTCACTTTACAACGAACTTCATCTGTTTCAAGTAAATTAATAAGTACTTCAATTCCTCCAACATCACGAACGGCAAGTTGACAAATTTCAGTTTTTAAAGGCATATCTTTCAAGGCACATAAAGATATGATGGTTGATGTTTGATTTCCACCCTTGTAATGTATATTAAGAAGTAAGCATTACGTCATTATAATTATGCTTTTTGAAGTACATCTATAGAAAGTGGTAAAGTTTTATTTAGTGAAAAAAGAAAATCATCCAATAGAAAACTTGATATTAACATTTCTCATTTGTTTAGGCTCCTCAAGAGTATTTTCTGACGTTATTAAGCTGACTGAAACGTGTGGAATAATTACGAGAATGTATTGCCCATCTAACAAAGTAGTCAATAATCTTGTGGTTGTGATACGAAACGTACATTGAGTATTAATCAGTTGTATATTTAAAATATATGCATATTTGAAGTATATCGAACATTTACGTTACTTCAATACTATTATTTATGTTAGGTTGATGGATCGGATCACGGTAGATTTGATAGTGATTTTTTCCGGTCGATATTTACTAAAACACCTTTAGGGCTCTTCTATACCGTTAAAGAAATTCTCACAAACTTTCGTGCATGTTCCCTAAAATTAAGTTTTGGATAGTTGGTAACCTGTCTCATCATTTAATATCATAGTAAATCTCGTCTGACCTTAAAGACCAAACAACAGGTCAATATGTATTCTTTTAGTATTCGTCGTTCATTCCTTAAAACTATGAACATGAAATTTATATAGAATTCAATACATATTTTGCATAAAGTAGCCGGTGTTACCGAAATGAAATCCGAATTCATGATCATCCAGTATTCTCGAATTGGTTAAATCTGTTTTATGCGTATAAATTATAACAAATTATAGATGAACGATACTATTTTCTATTCACAGGGAAGCTATCAGATAGACATCGACAATTTCAATGAATTTAAAAAACAATAGTATCACGAACTTTTAAATATTTAATTATTTTGCCAATTTGCCAATATTCAGATGGTAAGTCAGCGTTTGCATCTTGTTTACGCTCTGGTATGTCATCTTCCAACTCAGTTTCACTTTCTGAGCTTGATTCACTAAACCTATCAACATGTCTAGGGGAATTACGTCTATTCAAATAAGCGGAAAATAAGTAGAAGTTAGCATACAATAAAATGAAAGACGAAACAATTTACAATCTATACTTATTGTAATTCATCATTATTAAAGTAGATTAGTCTGCAATGACCAGAAGGAACATTAAAAAAAGAAAACTTTTCCAGGAAAGTAAACTTATACCTAATCCACTTTACATAGAAACGGACCTAGTCAATATATTACCCAACAATCTTTTAAATTCATTTTAAGTTATTTTAAGACATTGTGGTGAATGTATCAATTAGAAATTTTATGTGTCCATATACTACTTGCAATACTATAAGTAGTAAGATTATGTAACAAAAAACTGGTCTCGTAGTTTCAATTTTTCACATGTTAATCATGATTATTGCCTGTATGAAGACAATTTGATATAACCGTGGTATTGTCGCTAAGATTTGTCTTATTATCATCTGGTTTATAGTTATAATCTGAACAAATAGTACGCAAGTTTCTGTCGATTGGTGAATTCATACCATTTTGCACATTACTTATAACTTGACAGAACTAATTTAACTTGTAAGCACATTGATATATCGCTTACCTTGTGTTACCTATATTTATCCTGGTTATAAATCTCCTAACTTCGATCAAATTATAAACGTATATAGTTAACAATACATAAAAATTAACTCAATATTAACAGCATGACTTTATGACCGATCCTCAATTCATAGGTTTTGATTTTTAAAAGATATATTTTTTATTAAATTGGCTATCCCCTTGGATCATTAACTTGGAATGTAGAAGCTAATAACTCTTACTTGAAAAAACTTTTTCAAGTCATATATTTGAATTTCGATGTATCAATAATACAACATTTTTAATCGTTTTGTACGGTCATAGCTATTTTGATGTTCCAGTCATAGTAAGGCATTTATTTATATTTAATTTCTACAAAATGAGATGTATGTAAGCAACTACTTATTTTATGGGTTGAGTAGATTTCAAGACTGAAGATTAACGATGAAGATCTACATTCTCAAACTTCTTTCTAATGTTTGTTTTTTTAGCTTAATCATTTCTAGGTCTATTTCATCATACGTAGATTTAAATACTTTTATATGTTACCTAATTATTATTTAATAATTTTCATTCTCCGTGAACTCGAATACCTTATTTGTGCTAACATTCAAAAACAATTTATACTGAACTAGTCCCTATTTCTTATGAGTTTTTTTCAGTAAGCTTTAACAGTATGTATTTATATCAAATGATACAAACATGGTTAAGCATGGGATTCGCATAAAATGGTCAAATGAGAATGTCAATAAAAATAATTTTCAGCTTTACACTACTGAAAACGTTTCAGTAGATATGTAATTTAAAGCAATTTAATAAACATTCTGGGTAACGTAAACATAGTTACCCTATCTCATCAACAAAAGATCTTACTTTGCCTGTCATGAAAAATCCATAATTTAGCAAATTCTAAAGGCAGTTTAACAAAAATTTGCTGGGAGGTCTTGCCTTGAGCTTATTTGAAGCAGTGATTTTGCCATGATGGAAAGGGTTTGTAGCGCAGGTGGATGATTTTGATGGAGTTTTGCCTGTAAACTTAAGGTATCATGAACTATTCATCAGGTCAAACACTTATTTCTATATACTATCCTTTAAATTCTTACTTTATCACTAATTCACTTAGTAATGAGAGTTTTTTACTAAAATATATGAAGAACGAACACAAGCCCATCAAAATTCTCGAAACGTAAAAGAATTTTTAAAATTATTGATGACTGTGTATGTATGATATAATTTGTCCTACAGGTATTTTACTCGAACTACAAACGCAATACTGGTGACCCCAGAGCCTATTTGAAAGCTTTAGTCAGAACAAGGAAAATGTGGCTTTAAACTTTATCTGTTTCCGAACGTAAAAACAATTCAATTAGTGAAATAATTAAAGGATTATAGTCATTAAGTGGTACGCACAAACATGTTGACCAGTATTGCGTGTCTTATTAAAATGAATAGAAATAACGAGTCACACTAATATGATGCGATAATAATGTCCTTTAATTGGCAGGCCACATACAGCAGGGATATTCTACGGACACATCAGACCAGATTGACGTGGTGGGAGCTTAGGCAACCATTCGATTGGTTAGTTATGGAAATAACTAACAATGAGCCAACTGCTTGGACAAAACATAAGTAATTTGAAAAATATAATCTCTTACTTGATTTTCTCTGACTCCACACCCCTGAAAGTTTTAAAAGATAACAAGAGCAGATTTAAAAACATCGCAAAGCAACAAAGAAACTAGATAAAAAATGGTTGTTAGAGCAAAATCCATTTGTCATAACCTATTGAAAAAGTGACTTATTTGACCATTCATTAAGAACAGTGAGTCTTAGTTTCTAAAAATGGATAAATTTTGGTTCTTACTGAACTTAACCACTAGTGAAAATTCGTAACAAAGTTTTGGCTTGTTATATCCCTTGAGGAACCCAGAAACTGGTACGTGATTAAGTCAATTAAATGTAAAGGTGACTTTATAGATTTTTTCATAATGCTGATTTAGTAAAATGTATTGACGTGTTTAATCCAAAATACTTTTATTATGCCACAATCATAGTTAAAAACAGTTACTTATGTACTTGATTCAAAAGTAAGGTCGTGTTTGTTGCTGCAAATAAACTCTTTAGTTAACTGTCCCAGATAGATAGAATTTTACTTTACTTTTAAATGACATGTTGATAGGATGGTTTGATTTATGGATACTTAAGTGTATATAATTGATTCAAATCCGAATGAACCAACATCATCCCCCCGGTGTAAGTTCGGAAGCCCATGGCATTGACAATCTATTAAAATTGAACATGAATTTTATCTATTTGTTCAGGTACATGAATAATAGGTGTTTTGTCAGTAGTTGCAGAAAAGTAAAATAACTGTGTAGATAAATCAGTATGATGTGTTTAAAGTCGTCTTGTGAGGTGATGAGGGAAAACCTGTATCAGAAACACAGCAAATAGAACTATTTCTAGCTTTTCAATCAATTGAAATGCCTAAATAAGGGAGAGATTATAATTTATGGACAAACCAATTAGATATAAGGTAACAGTTCTCAGATTTTGGCGTAAAATTCACTCATTCATTTAGCTAAGTAGAGTTTTGTTATTTTAGCTGATGTCAGTTCGTTATGAAAACCCCAAATCTCATTCGTAACCTTAACCATCAACTGTAAATCATAATTCTAATTCCTCACACTGATTTATAACCCTCATTTGGCTACAGTTATTAGGTGGACATTCTCAAGGTCAGTCTGTCATCACTCAAAGGTTGTCCACAAATTATGGTATCACCATAAAAACTAGTGTCACAATCAATTTCTAATGAATCTCAACTTCGAACAGGGGTTAACAGTAACCTTCATTCCCGAAATAAAATGAAATGCGTTCTACAAAAACAAAAGCTGGTATCCGGAGTGACAGTAAGTATAACGATTACCGTTATCATCTGTATTGAAGCATGGTATTTGGTAACTGTGAAAAAACCAACAATAAGCAAAGAAACTTGAAATTTTGACCGAAATTCAGAGCTAGATTAGCGTAATCGTCTATAATTCAAATTAATTAGCTAGAGCTAACATACGGTTAGTTGAAGAATAATTTTATGACTCGCTTTTAAAGAAACTTATGATTCAATGAAGCATTAAACCGCATTATTTCAATGAAACGATGTTGATACTAGATAATATGTTTCAAAACAGAGATTTCCTCATTTTGTCAGTTTGTTTTTCATGTAAGCACTTTTAAAATCTGGTTTGACACTTTCGAGTCCTTAGGCTAAACCGTTGTTACTATATTACATCTACCCAGCAGAGTGGTAAAGCAGATAAAAAGTAACTGAAATCGTTTGAAAGAGAAGCAATGCTATACGAAGTGATCGTAAAATAGCCCGAATAGATCTTACGTGTAACATCAAAAGTTTTCATTTTAGCTCACTAAATTTCTTACACAATGCAACAGTGCTATGGACGTTTCCCTCACTAAATTGAAATATTATCAAATGAGTGATTATATGCTGTAATTTTAACTCTTCGACAGGCTGTTCTCCAGTTTTATCGCACTATATGTGCTAAGGGATTTCGATGAGCAATGTATGGGATAGAAAATAATATCAATAAGAGTAAGCTGACGACTTAGTGAGGGCATATATTACACTTACATTTAGAGATGAAAGCAACTGATAGCAAAAAATGACGAAAGCGTGATTTTGTAGTAATCTGATAATACAACCTAGAAGTCGGTAAAATAAGATTTTGAATGAATCACATTAATTCACCATGAAAACCCATGTGACCTAGAGAATAAATTTCAATTCCCAATTCTTAGTTGACATCTCTCTAGCTCAGAGAAACCAATAGAATTAAATTGCAATAACTAACTAAAGAAAATAAATATATTCTTTTATCTGCCTCCAGGTAACTAGATATTTACAGGAAATGAATGTTTTATTTTTCAAAACGGTGAATCTGGTATTTTTATTAGGTGATGAATTTGCTAGATTAAATAATGAACCTAAGAATAGTAGGGACAAATAAATGTCACCAAGACCTAGCCAAATCATCCAGCAGCCGGGTCACTAGAAGTCGAACAGTTCACCGATTATCCTCAGGGTCCAACGGGCATAAGTTAATGACACTCGATGAACTGGCTCATAAGGAGGCGGTCGTGATTTCTTTTTTGTACCTCTCTTATCACCATATTTTTGTAACAAGATCCTTTATTTTGTACAACCTTCAAGGCAGCCACAATACTTTGATACGACGATACAACTTTAACCTACCTCCTTCAGCTATGTGCGTTTAGGTCAACTAATGTGAGATGGTGGAGAAGATTTGTAGCTCAGGTGGATGATTTCGGCAGAGTTTTTTTCTCTGGGCTGAATGGTTTGGTGGCGACGTTTTCATCATCGTTCTGTTCAACATTATCAGCACAAACTCTAGGGTAGAAATTAGTGTGGTCAGCAGCAAATGTCGAAAGCTTATGGAATCGTTTATTTTGAGGATTTATTAACCGCTATAGCTCGTCCTCCTAAGTTGAGCAGTGGTGAATTCAGGACGTGGTCAGCCAGAAGTTTAAACTCAACGGATTTGTCGTTGGTGAACACTATTTTGATAACTTGTTATGTCCAACAGCATCTGGTGGTTTTTCCTTTATGTAAAGAGCCATAGTAGCAAAAGAAAAATATGCTATGAAAGAACAGTACCAGCGACACAACAAGATGAATCAGCAAGAACGTACAAGTATGCTTGTTAAATTAATAAGACACAATCATTCAAATCAAAATATGGAGATATTAGCACTTAATAGTATAGTGAGTTGTCTGGTTTAACGATTCAAGAGTGTTGAAAAAATGCTTTTTGTGCTTGCTCGTATGCTGTTGTCCAATTTTGCCTAATCACAACTGCAATGGTCAACATTAAGAACGAGCTGACCTCTAGGTTCTTTATTTTCAGATGTTCGGCTCCATGTCACACTTATAGTTGGCCAAACACTAACACTTAGAATTTTAAATCTCGCCAGTTTGATCTTGGGAGGTGTTTGTGCTTTGTAACTCCGTACGCTGGGATATAGCTGCTTTTCGAGTGTGGGAAGGTCCGGAAATCCGTGTGTTATGTCCTTTTTCCCGTTCTTATCAGTTTTCTGATTTTCATGCAGTGAAAATTCTCAACACTGGTGAAAATCCAATGATACAAATGCGCCAAATAGGACATGATAGAGACCGATGATAGCATACAATATATTAGTTAATCAGATATACTGGGAAATCCAAGTCTTGGTCACAACGATCAACTATAGTTTTATACATGTGAGTAAACCAGAGTCCACATTGCTTATCATCGCTGAACCTCTAACAGATGCCATTATTATGCTTTTTAATTGCACCAGAAAAACTTCTAACGTCCATATCAGGGCAGTCCAAAGGATTTCGATATACAATGTCAACATGAATATGTGTTGGACACTACAGAATGGAACAATTCTGATTTCAAAGTATTTAATATATGTTAAGCTGATTGCCAACAAAGAAAATGATGGTTAGAAGGAAAAGACATTTGAGCTCAGGCATAGGTGGATGAACGTGAGATTTTTGAATTGTCCAGCTATGGGGGGAAGTGTTTTTCATTTAGTCTTGTCCGGGTCTGATATTGACGCTTGTCTCTCAGCTGTCTTTTAGTTGTGTAGTAGTAGTAGTGCTAACAAAATTAGCATTGGTTTCAAACAATGGTCGCTAAACTGCTTATTTAGGGAATTTTACTGTTAAAGATGTAAACAACTGTTAGTTGGTGTTAATTATAAGCAGTAAAAGTAAGTCATATAACTCGCATTGAATTCACAAACAGTGATAAATTTGATCTGATATACCACCGGAAAGTTGACACCTGTATTTGCTCCTAAAACCTTTACAATTGGATGAGTGAAGAATTTCAAAGATATATTAGCGAAGTTATTGATATGTCGAGAAACATTTGATCTAAGCTGGGTAGTAGGGCAGTAGTAGTTGTCAGCTGCGGATGCGTTGCCAAGAGCCTTCGGCTAGGATGTGTCCAAATACTAGTGTGATCAGCGCTAATGTTGCTGACTTACAGATATATTTATTTCGGAGATTTATTCGCTGCTACGCATCCAAAACACACGTGATATAATTGTAAGAGTTATTTGATGCTTGCAATACAAATAGTTTAGGGCGATGGAAAAGATCGTGTACAACATTTTGCCCCTAGTTATTATTTTTCAAAACCCAAACTACATAAATTTCACAAAAACTCGAAGAACAAATAGAACATTTTTAAAACTGAAAGACTAACTTATTCGAAACCCCACCTTATCAGCCTTTGGCGCTGACCACTATATTTTCTTTATTTGACTAATGTGTCAGTGCTCATCACTAGCAACAAGCGCTAGAACTTCAAACGGTTGAATGTGTTAGCTTTACAGGACTATCTACAACAGGTGGATTGGGATGTTCACCCTCAACTTAAAGTGGATGCTCATTGTGATATTTACTGCACACGATCTTACGTGCTACTGAGCATTCAGTTCCTAAAATGGTCTCAAAAAGTTACAAACAACCTCCAATCATCAAGAACCGCACTCGTCGTTTGCTAAGCCGCAAAAGGCACTATTGGGTCGAATATAAACGAACCGACAATAACGACGCATACAGACAATACAAACACATAAGGAACATATGTTCAAAGGCAATAAGAGAAGACATGCTTCAGTACCAGACCAAGCTTATCGATAAATTCGTTCCCAATCCGAAAAGCTTATTCAGTTACGCAGCTTCTCTTCGACAAGGGAAAACTGGAGTTTCCCAACTGCTTGGTCCTAATGGCCCGACCAATAACGACAGTGATGCCGCTAACCTTTTGGCTGTACGATACTCCCGGACATTCCAGCTGATCCACATCAACCATACTGACGAAAACTTCACCTGCACCTCTACAGGACTTTCCGAAGTGGACCTGAGTGTTGACCTGTTGCTTCGTAAACTGCAGCACCTAAGAAAAGACACCTCCTGGTCCGGATATGATTCATTTCGCTGTATTGAGGGAGCAGCTTCAATCCTGGCGACACCACCTAGCGTGATGTTTGCACACTCGCTAACCCGAGGCAAACTACCGAAAATATGGAAGCTGGCCCACATCACACCAATTTTCAAAGGAGGTCGACGTAGTGAACCCTCAAGCTACCGACCAGTGGCCCTTCTCTCCATACCTTCCAAAATTATGGAATCCCTAATATACGGTGGTATACTAGAATACTTATCATCCTCAAAGTTCTTCTCACCTCAATAGCATGGTTTCAGGAAGGGCCGCTGATGTATAACCAACCTGTTGACTGCAGTGGACAGATGGACAAGCATCCTTGATCTCAAGAGTAAGGTTGACATTATTTACCTTGATTTCTCAAAATCTTTTGATGGGGTCAACCATATATGTATTATCAATAAGCTAAAACAATTGGGTATAAAACCCTCTTTGATTTATTGGCTCTCTTCATATTTAGAAAACCGACGCTTTAAGGTCAGGGTTAACTTCACTCTCTCTCAGGCTATGGAATGTCCTAGTGGGGTCCCCCGGGGCTCAATACTAGGACCTCTTCTCTTCTTGATTTATATGAACGTTCTTCCTCAACAAGTTTCATCTGACTTATTGCTTTTTGCCGATGATGTGAAACTTTGGAGAGAGATACGTAATCATAATGATATACTAGTTCTTCAGGACGATCTGACCCGACTTCAAAGTTGGGCAGACAACGGACTTAACTTCAACACTTCAAAGTGCAAGGTAGTCCATCTGAGACATGTTGCAGACTATAGTTATAGCTTAGGTAACTCCCCTCCAGAAGTTTCCCTCGTCGAGAAAGATTTAGGAGTGTTGGCACCCTATGACCTGAAATCGTATGCGAACTGTGACAAAAACGCCTCTCAAGCAAACCTTGCACTGGTAACATTTAAGCGCATTTTTGGCCAGTTTGACGGTAGAACATTCCATATAATCTTCAACAGTTTTATTCGTCCCCATTTACAGTACGGAAACATAGTATTTCGTCTCTCCCTTCAAAAGGATAAGGGCACTCTGGAACGTATACAACGTCGAGCCACGAAATCAGTTCGGGGACTCAAATTCAAACTTTATGAAGAGCGCCTCAAATCACTTAACCTTTACCCGTTAGAGTACAGGCGTCTTAGAGGTGATCTTCTTATGACTTACAGTATCTTTAATACTTCTGGTCATCCCCTTAAACATCTTAATCTTAGCCATAACACTAACCTAAGAGGTAACACCCAGAAATTGGAGACCCTACATAGCAGAACAGACTGCAGACACAACTTCTACTCCGTTAGAGTTGTCAAGTGCGGGAATTCGCTGCCGACTGAGCTAGTCCAAGCGACCTCCCAGGAGTCCTTTAAGAGGGAACGTGACTTATTCTTAAGGACTAAGGATAACATATTATTATGATTTACCAAATTCTTTTTCCCTCTATTATCGTTCATAAACCTAGGTTTTTGCCTTATTAAAGGGTTCAGGAGTTTTTCTCCGTAAGGATTTACCGTTGGCGGACCGTGTTAAAAGACGGGAAGCCGAAAAGGAACTACAGCTCAGATTAGACGCTGGCGAAAAAGACCTGAAAATTGTAAATTTTCGGGTTGTGAGGCTTCGACAGAGGATGATGCCGAAGCCACTCTGGGTGAAGCACGAGGCCACCTAAATAGGCTTCGGGTCTGTTATACCAACGCCCGGAGCTTACTAAATAAGCTACTGGAACTAGGTGTACAGATTGATTCAACTAGGCCAGACATAATCGCAGTCACAGAAACATGGCTGACGCCGTCTATAGATAGTAGGGAACTTGATTTCGAGGGTTTTACATTAGTAAGGGCCGATAGAATACAAACGCGTAAAGGAGGGGGAGTAGCTCTATTCATTAGGAATGCTATTCCATTCACCATTATCGACAGTGTATCCCATGAGAGTGGGACGTATGATTTAATTTGCTGCCGCCTGAAATGCAGGGGACAAGAGTTGCTACTTAGTTTGATCTATCGCAGTCCAAGCTGTGAGGCAAACGAGGTCCTGCTAATCAGTCTCAACACTTTATCACGAAGTGATCGATGTCTAAACCTAGGGGACTTTAATGCACTCATGGTGGACTGGGGAAATCTGCGGACTGAATCGTCAGCAAACTCCTTCGAACAGGAACTAGTTGATGAGGTAATCACATGTGCCCTAGTGCAACACGTGAAGGAAGCTACTAGGTACGACCCGGGTTCTGCATCATCCTTACTAGATCTTATATTGACTCATTATGAGGATGATGTTGCAAACCTGGATTACATGCCACCCCTAGGCAAAAGTGATCATGCAGTTTTAAGCTTTGACTTCCATATAACTGTCGATCACGAGTACGCTTCAGCTCAATTCAGACCTAACGTCTGGAAAGCAAACATACCAGACATCATGAAATCAGCATCATTAGTAGATTGGAAATTAGACCCAGAGTCATCAATCGAAACGGGTTGGGACATATTCCGGAATTTATACTTAAAAGTTACCACCCCCCACATCCCTTGGACTACACCTAAGAGACCGAGAAACTCCCCATCGTGGTTCAGTAGGGAGGTTCGCATCCTTCTCCGTAAAAGAAGGAAAATGTGGGACAGATTTAGGTTACTGGGGACTTACGAGGCAAAATCTCAGTATCAAAAGGCTCGAAATACCTGTGCCTCGACCCTCCGTAAGGCCAGAAAGCTGTACGAAGAGAAAATCGTTAGGGAATCCATAGAATGCCCTAAACGCTTGTATTCGTATATAAACCAAAGGACAAGAAGAAGAAGAAGAAGAAATGTTCCTTCACTATGGGGAGACAGTACTGCCACATCACTAGTGGAGGACGACTTTGGCAAAGCTCAAGTATTCTCTAAATACTTTAGCGATGTATACACCATAGAAACATCCTTCTCACCAGTCCATGAAAATCCACCCACACAAGCACTGGACAGCGTAACCATTAAAGAACTCGATGTCTTTGGTCTGCTAGTTAAGCTTGACATAGGTAAATCCACTGGACCCGATGAACTGCATCCTAGGTTACCAAAGGAATTAGCTAACTTTGTTGCGAACCCTTTAAGTGTATGTTTTAATCTATCCGTAACCCAGGGTCGTCTACCAAAAGACTGGAAGAACGCCATAGTAAGTCCAGTCTTCAAAACAGGTACAAAACATAAGCCTGAGAATTACTGACCAATTAGCCTAACTAGTGTGGTTGTTAAAATATTAGAAAAGATTATTCGGAAGGAACTGTTAAAGTATCTCGATGAAAACCGGATCCTCTCCGAAAAGCAGCATGGTTTTAGAACAGGTTACTCTTGTCTCACAAACTTATTAGTCGCTCGTGAAAGCTGGTGCGCTCTTAAGGACCAAAAGTTACCTATAGACGTAGCTTACATCGATTTCAGCAAAGCTTTCGACAAAGTTCCGCATAACCGGCTGTTACATAAGCTAAGGAATGTCGGGATTGGAGGCAATCTATTGATGTGGATAAAAGACTTCCTAGTTGGGCGTCAACAAAGAGTAAGGGTGAACTCCAAGTTGCCTAGCTGGGAAACTGTGCTTAGTGGAGTCACCCGGGGTACAGTTTTGGGGCCAGTGTTATTCCTCCTGTACGTAAATGATCTCCCTCGTCTACTATCGTCATCGGTCTTCTTCTATGCTGATGATGTGAAGATATGGAGAGCGATACAAAGCAAGGGCGATAGCTTAGAACTTCAAAATGACCTGGAGAGATTATGTGAATGGTCCCAAACCTGGCAATTGCCGATAAACACTTCCAAGTGTATTGTGATGCATATTGGCCACCAGGGTACAGATACATACACGATGAATAACACTGAGTTACCTATTGTTCAGGCACACAACGACTTAGGCGTCATCGTCAGTCAAAACTTAAAGACTACTGCACACTGCCGTGCTATAGCCGCCAAAGGTTTTAGGACTTTATGGTCCATACGCAGGGCTTTTAGGCATCTTGACGCTAAAACGTTTTTGACTTTGTATACAGTGTTCATACGCCCTAAACTTGAGTACTGTATACAAGCAGCTAACCCCTGCCTAAAAAAGACAATGAACTCTTGGAAAGGGTTCAGAGAACAGTAACTAGGCTGATTCCCGGAATAGCGAAGCTCCCGTATGGTACTAGACTGACCAAGCTAAACCTATTCCCGCTGTCATATAGAAGAATCAGAGGTGACTTGATTATAGTTTTCAAATTGCTAAATGACAAATTTGCACCTGATATGCCCTCATTTTTCTTGTCTTCCAAAAAAGAAAATCTACGAGGACACTCCAAAAAAGTTCACAAGCCCAGAAGGAATTACTTGTCAACTGACTACCGACTTTCCCATCGAATAATCAACGAGTGGAATTCATTACCTCAGCACGTGGTTGAGGCTCCATCCGTCGACTCCTTCAAAAGAAAGTTGGATCAGCTGAGAGACCATCATTGCCAGGACTAACACAGGCCATCAAGCCTCCTGTCCTTTCCAAACTGAAACTGAAATTGAGGTATTGGTGATCCACTGCTACCAGACACGAAAGCCCGTTAAGCGAAAGCTTCTTCTATTCCTTCCTCAACCATTTGAACCATTTTGAACTGTCAACCTTCTGCCTAAATGAATAGGAGAGCATTCTACAGGCTTACTAAGTTGCCGTTCACTTTTTCCCATCTAGATTCTAACATACGATACTTTAGAGACTTCCATAGAATAAAACTTATCTTAGGGTCAGATGCAAACATACAATGGGCCGAAAGTCAGGTCAAACTTATAGAGAGATGTGAATTTATTCGTACGATTTTCAAGCCGCCCCATTAAATCTCGAGTATTTGACCTTGGGGGTCAGGGCGCCATTATTGGATTCACAGGATGACTCGGGGGTCCCCTCATCGATCGCACAAAAAACATCATCACAAAAATCGTGATAGGTCTCGTTCTCCTCTGGACCAGATTTCTGATAGGACTGCTGCTAGTCGAGATGATCAATCACCTAGTGATAGTAAGTAAACTTGTATAACCTTTTACAACTTATGCTTAGTTGGAGGCACTGGTGTTGATATTTCTCTGTCAATTGCGGAAACAAAGTAAATATAGGGTAAATTAATATACGTTTTTAGTGCTTTGAGAGCTAAGCTGGGTCTTGCTCCTCTGGATACTGATGATACTACAAAATCAGAACGAGCATTAGATAACCAAGCCGATTGCTACGTCCATGCACCGGCTAAAGATATCAGAAAAATAAGGGAATCAGAAGCAATCAAGGAAAAGCTAAATGTCCTTAAAGAGAAAAGGTCACTATTAGATAAAATCGGGCAGGAAAAACTCTCCACTCCCTCTGCACGTGAATCGGATGTTCAATCATGGGTTGAGAAAATGCGTGAGAAAGAACGAATTCAGAAACAAGCAGAAGAAAGAGTAAGTATTATGGAAACTTTGCTCATGTTAATTACGTTTTTAGGCTAAGCTGTTATCTGAGATTGACGATCAGTTGGCTGTTTCTGAGTTTGTAGAGTCAAGGTTGATTCAAAATGATAAAAAGTACAAACCCAATGATTTGGCTGGTCTTCGCGTCGAACATAGTTCATCTCGTTTTGTTGACGGTCAATCAGTTATCCTGACGATTAAAGACTCAGGTTTGTTTGCAAATAGTTTAGTTTCTAAAGTCTTTTACATGTAAAAATTTTGGGCTCAAGTATATTTATTTATGTGATTTCAAATGACATTCAGATATCCGATGTATATATTAAGTTATTGTGATATTTAGTTATCGGCTTTTCATTACTATTTGTCGCCTTTTGCTTTTTTACAATGTGAATCGGTCACCGTAGTAATTTTCGTTTAACGCATTCACTACCGGTTTAAGCTTGACACAGATTTCAGTTTAAGTATTAGTTTGTTCTTAGCCTTCGAATATAGTAATCGCCCTAAATGATGTTTTGAAATGCACTTAACTTCCAGTCGGGAGACTGTAAGTTCAAGACCCATTCTATTTACTTCGTTTGAACAGTTCAGTGATGTCACTTTCACACGTAGTGTAGCTCTAACATAAACGTGTACTTATTGAGTGAGCTACTATTAGTCATCTGGAGATCTGGTAGCTGGAAATGTTCCGATACAATATTATTTCCAGGAGACAGCTGAGAACCCAAACATTTTCAGTGAACTTATTAGACAACACGTACTTTCAGTCCATCTAGTGTTACTAACAGTAATACCCTTAAAAAACAGCTCTCTCTCTGATGTTAACTGCCTGTCCATGCCTGTAAGATTTAGACTCGATGTAAAATAACTGAACGAAACTCGCCATTCCAAAATAACCTGCGGCGTAATTTATTTTGTTTCTGAAGTACTTATACAAGATAGGTGTAGTCATCTGGACTTGGTCTATGTAATTTGTCCGTATTAGCAGCAACTTCTTGTTCATCAATAGTTTCAGGTTAAAAACGGGCTGAGGATTCAGGCTTGATTTATGCACAACTTTCTTACTAATTCGATATATTCATTCGAGCTTATAAGCGATTTTAGAAACATTAACATTCGAACTAAGATTTCAGGAAGCTAGCAAGTCTTTAAAGTACTGTAAGTGTTGATTGGCACAAAGATATTCATATGACCTTACCAAAGCAGAAGCAGTTTCAATATATAATAACGGATATCATTTATGGTGAGCGTTGGTTTGAAGATAAGAAATGATCTGTTGACATCCTTTATTTCGGTCTAATAAGTACCGTCTATCAATTAAGGGACGAGTATACTGCGCAGCAGTTCGTTCTGTTCTACTTTACGGCTGCGAAACATGGCCATTAAGAGTAGAAGATACTCGTAGGCTACTAGTATTTGACCACAGATGCCTTAGAATATTGCTCGCATCTGCTGGGATAACCGGGTAAGTAATAGTGAGGTTAGACGCAGGGTATCAGGGAGTGATGGTAAATCAGTTGATAAGGTCATGAATCTTCATCGACTGAGATGGTTGAGCCACTTGTTACGTATGCCTGAACATCGATTACCACGACGCGCAATCTTCACTAGTGTAGGGGATGGTTGGAAAAGAGTTAGGGGCGGCCAAACCAAAACATGGCATCAGTGCTTGAAGTCACTAACTTCTAGTCTGAGCCATGTTGGTAGATGCAGACTACCTGGTTGGGGTCCGCGTGACTATCGTAACCAATGGTTGGAGACTCTGAGTGACATGTCTCAGAATCGATCACAATGGCGTAGGTGTATACACTCTTTATCTTCCCTTAAACCTTGAGATTAAAATTGCTTCATAACTTTTTTCCTTCCTATACTATATCCTTATATACAACCTTTCTTTATATACTACCACCACTAAATTAATTACTTCTATGAGTCCGGTGTTCATCTTGTTGTGCTAACGAGGCATGGCAACTTGGAACGATGCATATATGTGCCTGGTCCTACGTTGTCGCTGACTGACTGAATAAGTACCGTGTATTACCGTAAGTAATAACTTATTATGCCTGATACATTACTAAACTATCCCAGTCACTGCATACATATAACACTCCTAACTAGTTCGCCTCATCTAGAATATATTGTCTAGCTTCACGACTGCTTTCTTGGTGGTTCCGGTACATGATTCAAAGGCACCATCAACCGAATCCCGGTAAACTTAATCTGATGATTTTGAAGAGCTTCTTGAGTATGTAGTTTGGTACATCACCTGTGGTAAATATATTTTACGAAAACTTGTGTTCCACTTTGTTTTATTGCTAATATACTTTTTGCTGCGATTCTTTAAGTCTTAATCTGTTGGGGATGTCAAATCCCCAGAACTTACTTTATAAGTGGCTCAATTTTGTAATTTTATTTTGGAAATTTGAATTTAGCTGTTTTCTCGCCAAACGCGCTCTTTTTACCTTCACATCATATTTCCCACTTGTAACTATCTTAAACGCTATTAGTCCATTGTTTCTTTGCGTGTGCTATTTATTAACGATGTCCAAGGACAAATTGTTGTTGTATAAATACGCTTTACTTTTTCCCTTATTTGATTGCTGTGCTTCTGGTTGCTATGGAATATAACTTCCCCGCTCCAACTTGGACTTCTTACTCTAGTTATCTGGGTCTGGGTCGCGTCAGAATAGCTAGCTTATCGGTCCCTGGTCACAAGTCTTTGTTCCGTTCGCTACTAGTGAATACGTAACGCTTCAGATATAACAATCAACTTCAGATAAGTTATGATTCTGATTAGTGTTACAAGTGACTTCTGCCTATTTTATTTACCATCCTCGAGTTCCATAGTAGTTCACTTCGTATTGATCAATGTAAATATTTCGCAAATAGTTGAAATCTATACTATATTACGGGCGTAGGATATTTTACTGACTTCTATAGTGTTTTTCTTGAAGAATGAGTACCATGTAAAAATATTCATTGTAAACAACCACAATTTTAATTCATCGTATGTGGTGATCTGAAGGTTCTGAAGTTATTTCTACTGAGTCATTCGAAATCTGTTTCAATCCCCATAAGTGTTAACCTCGCCGTGTCATTATTTTAATCATCTGTGTAGCGATCGTAAATTCCAGATTGTAGTTTTTACCTTTTGACTCAGGTGTTTTGGATGAATCTGAAGATGTTTTAGTGAATGTAAATATAATTGATGATGAAAAAGCTGATGTCAATAGAGAAAATATAAGAAAGACTGCCGGTTTGGCTGGAATCGAAGATGAAGTTGATGAGGATGTACTTCTTGGTTTACGTTCTAAAGCTGTCCTAAGCAAGTATGATTCAGAGATTAATGGCATTAAGAAGGACCACTTTGTTATTAATTCTGATGGCTCTTATAATACAGAGGATGAACGTTTATTGAAACAACTACAAGCTGAACTCAAAGAAGGAAGAGTAAGTAATTTATATATTCAAGATACATGCACTTACTAATAAATTGTTCCCATATTTAACATATTATTACCGTGTTTATTTGGATGCATCACCAACTTATCGTAAATGTTTGATTGTTTGTTAATAAATTATTTTACTCCAATTTCAGCAATCATTACCTGATACTGAGCTTCGTATAGCTTCTGAGTACTTCAGTTCGGAAGAAATGGCTGCGAAATTTAAAAAGCGTAAACGTCGTATCAAAACTATTCGTCAAGCACTGACTGCTGATGAACTTTTGAGTGAATTGCCGGAACAATTAAGCTCTTCTGATTTAGGAAGCCGTTCAACAGTTACAGAAAGTCGCTTAAATAGTAACATCCCATCTGCAAATGACACATTTTCTGCTGAAGAATTTTCTGCACAAATAATAGATGTCAAAGGTATTATATGTTTTGCTGTTTTGTCACCTTAATAGTTTAATAAGTATATTTAAATAGCATTTCATACTAAATATTACTTTTTAATTTATGAATTTTAGCACCGTTATGGTTTTAGATCAATTTAACTAACTGAGCAATCTAAAGTCTACACTTTGTAACATATATAGTCAATATACAAATATTCATAACGTCTGATAGTCTGTAATATCCCATAAAAATTAAACTAAAAATCGAAGCGACTATTACCATGTAACTGTAACTGCGAAACCAACACTTATTTCACAGTTATGTACTGAAAATATTTCTTCACTTAGGATTTTACTATTACCTTGAATTTAACCAACTTTTATAGCAGAGTATAATTTAAAAATTCCGAATCATGACACCATTCGTTTAATAGACTTTTAGGCAAGTGGTTTTACAATGATAAAAATTTAAGTCTCCACTTATAGAAAGGCTAGGCTGATGACTGTTTATGTAAAAATTTGTTATTGTCCCTTGCTCTAACCTTTTTTATCTTCTGTGTCAGAAAATGGGTGATGGCTTCGGTTTTCAATAAGTGGAAACAGTTGAGTTATACGAAGTTTGATCATACAAATGTGAAAGGGAACATAACCCAGTGGTATGGCAATCATGTGCATTATAAGTGCTAACAGCTTCTCTTTTAGACAAAAGAACTAAAATTGTAGAATAACAACCGTTGTGAGGGAAAATCCCAAATCATACACTAATATGTCGTTTACACACAATATAATGGACGAAAGAAAAGACTCCAAAAAAGCACTGAAGAAAAAGCCGAAGCTTCTGTAAGTAACTTAAAAGTTTGGGAAAGGTTGTTATTCTCAAATAGCTTTTATCGTTTTGGAAGTGAATGAGTTAGCTATTTGTCGGCTTGCAAACTCATGTTGATACTACGCAAGTGAAACTTTATACGTATTATGACTGTCTGATGCTAGGTTTCAAGTTGTCACAATATAAACTACATAAAATTTGTTGATCGCTATAAAATAATCGGTTATATGAAATGTATTTACATACTTTCTTTTTCTCCCATATTCAGATAGTTACGAAGAATATTGGTCAGCAGCAGATCATATCGACGAACCAGATGAATTGAGAAGTGAATTAGAGAAAACTATTGGGCGAGTGATGCAATCGAAGTCACGGGTTGTTTCTAAACCGGAAGAAGTACGTCAATTTTTTTTCATAACAGCGTTTTCGTGAAATATAAAGATTGTATAATATTAAAATGAATAAATGGGACTTAAGAAATTAGGAGAAATACAAACTACTAGTGTCCAAACGTATGTCAAATATATTGACTTTTACAGTGCTTCTGAGTTACATTACAGTTAAAAACTAGTATGATCATGGTTATACACGATTGATGTGATCAATTGTTAAGCTATGACGTCACTTAAATAATTTCTGTGCCTATTTAAAAAAACTATTTTTTAATTGTTGCTTCATATAAAAAGAGATAAGATTGATTCTCTTCTCACCGTATTTTTTGCATTCAAAAGATTACATCACAACTCTTAGCAAAAAACATAGCTACCCATTCATCCGAATCCGTGTCACAGTCACTTGTGTCTGATACATCAACAAATAATAGCAAGAAAGACAATGTTGTGTTCGACTCTACTGCAGAATTTTATAAGTCGATTGGTATTGGTTTTCAAGAAAGTATGAAAAGAAATACTCGTTACAATCAATTCTTACAAAACCAATCTAGATTACAGAATAATGGCGGGGCAGTTGGTACTAGTGATGATGATAATACGAGTTCATCACCTACAAGATTGCCGTATAAAGAGGAAGAAGAACGAAAACTGGATTATGATTCAGAAGGTAGTTATCATATGAAAAGTGAAGATTATGACACAAATTATGACGATACAAAGTTGGAGGCATCAAGTGAGTTTCTATTTTCCACTCCATTTATGAATGTTTATTCCAAAAATAGCGTTTCTTCCGTATATTTGATTTAAGTATTTTCAAAATGTTTATCAGTTCAGCGTAAACGGATGGGTAAACTTCGATACTTCTGTAGCATATTTACCAAGTAGCACTAAAGTGGCCTAGTGGTTAAAGCACTCATCTATCAATCAGTAGGACTCAGGTTTGAACATTTTCACCCACTTTGGTCTTATTAGTCGGGTAGTATCACTAGCTCTCACTAAGAAAATGGGGCTCAAAGCCGAGTATATACCCCTGTGCTTGTTAGTTGACCATCAATATAAGGATTGTAAGTGCAGAAGGGTATTAGATGTTGATGAATTTAAGTATTCGGGTTTATCACAACTGTTGTTAACTTACTATCGCTTTTCTGACAAAATAATTCGGCAGAAAGTTCTTATCAGACTGAATATATTGTCAGAAATGTTTAATCAAGGTAAGGTTCGGTCATTTTTTTGGATACAATCTTCAACCCAAGTTACATTCCTCTAGCATAGTTCAATCGCACAGTGCATAATCCAGTTCAAGTAGCTCCTCACACAACAACGGTAATTTCAAAGCGTTCTAATTGACCCTTAATGAATACCACTCTTCTATCGCATCATAAGTTCACTTATCAGTCATTGGAAAAGAAGCGTGATCAAATAAAACAATAGAGAGTAGACTACAGTTTGTTTCTTCAGAGATAACGCTGCCCTCATTTTTTCAGAAAGTAATCTTATGTCGAGAGATTTACTTGTTATCTTAACATATCCCGATAACCTAGTTCTATTTGTTGAAGATGCCGACAGAATACAGTTTTTGACAGCCTTGGACGATATTTGAAATGCAATTCTCCCCTGCTAAATTCAAAGTGGTGCTTCAGGACTGATCGGCGTCAACTCTGAGCTAATGATAAAAGGTAAAGTAGTTGAGTACGTCGACCACTTCACTTATTTTAGGAGTTCTAGTAAGTTGGTGTCTGATGAAACGTTGGTATAGATGCAGAAGACTTGTTTGTTTTTTGCTAACTTGCGTCACTTGTGGTCTAGGGGAGATATCAGTCTATCAGCTTCATTAGTTTACTCTCTTCTGCCCTATAGCTATGAAATGTGGTCTTTGAAAGTGCAGGATGTTCGTAGCTCACTAGTATTCGATCATAAATGCCTTCGAATAATTGCTCACGTATGTTGAGACCACTGATTGCGCGATGTTAAGAGGTGGGGTACTAGGTAAAGGTAGCATATCGATTGATGGGGCACTGGATATCCATCGATTACAGTAATTGGGATATATATTATCTATATCCTGCAACCGCCTACCTCGGTGCGTGATATTCGCTGGTGTAGGAGGTAGGCTGAAAGAAAGCTAAGGGGTGGCCAAACCAAGATGTGGCGTAAGTCTATTAGGCTATTGACTGTTTGATGTGTAGTAAGTTCATACTACCTCTTTCGGTTCCGCGCATCTGTTGTAACCATTGGTTACAGACTTTGGATGAAATGACTCAATCGTTTACAATGGTACAGATACATCCACTCTTTTTCTCACTGTCTATCTTTAATTCAAGTACCTCTTCGTGCATACCTTGCTACTCTGTCTTTTCGAAATTTACCTTCAACACTTAGTCTTTCTCAGTATCGTTGCTGCTGTATCATTTCACTCTAGTTTTCTATCTAATGAGTTTCATTTCGATGTGCTAATGTTCTGTGGTAACTTGAACTGATGTATATATGTACCAGGTTACACGTCTTAAATTTCTGACCGACAGTTTATTTCTCTCTATGGTGTTGCTTCTATGTTGTCATTTGGTATTTTTTCTTAAGTAGCGCTCAATTAAGATAGAGACAGGAATAACAGATTTATTTCCTTTATTTCTAGGTGATCGATGGCATACCGTCGGCAATGATATTCTTGGGAGTTCAACTCGAACTGTACCGAAACCAACAGTCAAAAAGTCTGGACAGGAACATTTTAAAGTAGAAAATAGTGATATACACGGAGTTTTAGATGATGAACCACGTCTAGATGCAGGGGTATTTTCAGCCATTCGGTTGGCTGAGAAAAAAGGTTATATTGATAAAGAGAAAGAGAAACGAGTGAGTTAACTTCTTTCACTTTTATCGATGAGAATTCTTCATTCTTGATCATAATATTATATTCGAAACTGTATTGAACTCTCTATTTACTGTTTAAGATAACCATTCATGTTATCTGTACCCATTTCATTTGTCTTTGTTTTTCTAGACTGGTTCAGGAACTATGGTCAATTTAATGGCTAAACACTTTGTCCAAGAAGATATACGCTATGATGATATTGATGCGAAATTTTACAAACGCGATCGTTACTCTGGTCCATTATCAGATTTTAAAGAGTTAACGCAATATAAACCGGATATTAAATTAGAATATGTTGATGAGCTAGGACGTGATTTAAGTGCTAAAGAAGCTTTTCGTCAATTAAGTCATAAATTTCATGGAAAGGGTTCCGGTAAGAATAAAACACAGAAACGTATGAAAAAAATCAATGAAGAATTTGTAAGTTTATGGATTAATTATTAATTTAAACTAACGTGTTTATCAATTACAGACACGTTACTATTCGATTTAAAGCGATGCTTTTTACACCAAGACCAGTCATACTATTTGACTCATCAAATTGTGCTAGATAGATTCGAATCTGATTCATATCTATTGCTTGCAAAGCTAGTACTTTTATAATAGATTGATTGCAAATATCGTTTATAGGACCAATAAGTCAGGACGAGTAGAACATTTTATTCGTGATTATTCATAAATATCCATATATATATATGGGCTGGGTTTCTCCTCATATTTTTAGGGCTTGGTTTTCTCAGTGGATCGTCCCCTGAGCCTATGACTTAAAGGTATCACAGCCCTCATACAAATCAAATACTAGATAGAGATAGTAAATCAGTTAATAATACTATGGACTTTCGTCCACTGATTTGGTTTTGAGCATTTTTGTGCACTCAGCCACTTAATGCAGGGAAATATGTTAGTTGAAGACTAAGTGTGGCGTAAAAGACAGTATCAGCATTTGAAGTTATGGTCTCTTGGATGTGTGACATTCAGTTGCTCTTCATTCTGTTAATTTTATGTCTGACTGTGCTGATGTAAGGCGTAGTAATTTTTGTCGAGGCATATTTATTTCAGGTTACAGTTTGTTTATGACTGGTTAAATATCTAACTGACATTTGTGAGTGAATTTCACAGCAACATTCTCTTCGGAACTAAGCACACTATTTAAAATACAAACACCTAAAAAATTTTAAGAAAAATAGTTTTTGATTTATCGTTATGTTCTATGATGTTGGTCGATAAAAGTGGTGGTATGACTGGATAAGAAAGTTATTTTTGCACAACAATTCACGATTTTTAAAAATGTGTATGTCGTGTATTCGTACACTGAAGTGCATAAGATGTTGACTATTGAAAATGGTTGATGTTCAGCGGAATTACATAAAGAAGAAACAAATATTCCAGTTTGTCCGACTGCTATTTTGTTTTTACCATTTCAACTTACGGAATTATGTTGTACTTGTTGACGAATCTATTTTCAGATTCAAATTTTAGTAAGAATCCCTTACTCATTGCTCCTCACGAAAAATTAAAAATTTGCGTCATTTAAATTCGCAAGTTGGTTAAGTGCAATTTTATAAAGCGAACTAAATATTAAAATAGTTGAGATATAATGGTATATTACTACATACATGTTTCTTTATTGCACAAGTACACTAAAGATACCCAACGATCCCTGGAGATTAAGAAAGAAATTTACGCGAGACTTTTTAATGTTTCTAGAAAAGGTCACTATGCAATCAGTTTTACTGGTTTTGTACTGTTTATATAACCTTGGAATATAGATACAAAATTAGTTGTTGAAGATAAAGCTTGTCCTCAAACAGTCAAACGATGAAAAATTCAGAGACTAGTTGAATTAGCGATTGTCCTAACACTAAAAGATTTGATACGAGGGGGTAATATGTTGACTGATGAATAATTAATCACAATGTGATTGTTTCAGTTGACTCATGCAACTGTACAATCTGAGCCAAGAATCATAGCATTTTTCTCCACTTCGTATTAGTATTAGATTTCAGTAGACCTTCATAACATATTGTTGTTATAGCAAGGGTGTGAACCATCCATTTCACTTAAAATATGAAACAGTCGAAAATGCTTAAATTTCTTATCGTTTTATGCTAAAAACTAGAGAATAATTAGCTTTCAAGGACAGGAGTTTTGTAAACATTAAGACTAGCAAAGCGACTACTTTTCCACAAAGTTTACCTCTTTGAAGAAAAGCTGTTCAAAACTGTTTACAGATAGTCATAAACAAGGATGTTTACAAAGATAACTTCAAATTCGACAACCATTATGTTGTGGCTAGGGACTAAATTCAAGAGGCAATCTCTAGAGTTCTAGTAAGAAGCAATGAGCATTAGATTTCAACCATGTCGGTCGTCAGTCGCATATTAATAATGGCAATGGATAATGGGTCATGCAATACTTGCATATAATTGGATGTCAGCTCAGTTTTCTTAAGTTTGAGCGCTTGTCTAGGGGCTTAGAGGCCTTTAGTTCAATCCTTGGTGTAATTGCAGATGGATACTTCTGAGGAGTAGCTACATACTAGGACGAAATAGTTGTTCAATGCTCCCTGGTTTTTAATTGGTATCTAATTAGACTTAGCCTGTAATGTGAAACTTTGAATAATAGATTTTATTTTTTCTCACTGTTGAAAATGTTGAAGGTTTTTTATTGCTTCTGAGCCATTGTAAAGTGATTTATTTTGTTATAGCTTTCTGGGTTATAGCTTAAGAGGAATTCTATTATATAATTGATTGATTTTCTAATCCACGTTTGTATTTAAATTCATTTAGTATTGTTTGTTTGAATCTTCCCATCGATGTGTTAGGACTGCAACTGGTCAGTCTCTAATTGGCATATGCTCATACTGTATTGCCTCGATATAACCTCAATTCACAAGCATGGTGAGCAAAGATGGATAGTGGCTAGCAGTGGAATCCAGGACGCGCGTTCCGTCCTATTTGGGAATCGTCAACTGGATGCACCTGCATCTCAGAGTTGATGTTCACTCTGGGACTCCAACCCAAATGGGACGAAACGCGCGTCCTGGATTCCACTGCTAGCCACTATCCATCTCTGCTTACCAAGTTTGTATTTCCCTGAATATCATTTCCAGTGTATGTACTTAGTATTTGTTTTTACAAAGTAACATTTTGTCTTCTTCAAGTTATTTTCATTGTTTTTTTCTCGTGAAAATAATAAAATATTCTTTTCTTTCTATTGTGGATTTAGCTTCTTAAGGCCAGCACCAGTTCAGATACTCCATTGGGAACAGTGAACAAATTGAATAAAAAACTAGAAGCAATGTCCATGCCTTATGTAATTTTAAGTGGAAAAAATGCAGCTGTGTAAGTTAATTTATGTTACGACACATGTTTTCATTGCTTTTTTTAGTGAGATCTTAATTTTTATTTCAGTTATCGCCAAGTTTTCTCTTAATCTTTCATGAAGATTCATTTTTGGTTTGATTAATTACCTTACTGATGGTATTGTAGTGAACGAGAACACAAGCGGGGACAACCAAATGTATTTGAACACAAAATTACAGAACGTCTTAGTAAAATCTAAGAACCATACAGTAAATACTTCATTTGCGAAGTGTCGATCAATTGTCTCAGACTTTACTGTTCCCTCATTTTCACACCAATCATTGTTCTTGTTCTCTTTTGTTGGATCTTCTTAACCTTCTGCCTCCAGGTATTTCACTTTCAATTGATGATACATACTAATATCTATCGACATCAGTAGCACACACCACAGAAGGACTGTCTAGTTCGAACTAAATGTAAAAGCCACCCTGACCTACTTACTGAGTATATTTGGGGACTTCAAAATATCATGTATGTAAATACAATTTAACCAAAATCATATGTATGAGCTGCTTTTCACGTAACAGAACAGATAAATGAACAATGAAACTAAAAGTCGTCAATTGATTGACCAATTTTTTTTCACTTCCTACAATTGTAACCAAATTTTAAATTTTAAAAGAAGGATACCTCATCAAGAAGCCCAAGAAAGGTAATCTCAACAATTGTAAGAACAGAGGCATCACACTACTGTCAGTACTAGGGAAAGTTTGCAAATGAGTAGTGTTGAACCGGATGAAAGATTCAGTAGATGTCCAACTTCGAGATCAACAGGCTGGTTTCCGTAAGGATCGATCGTGCACGGACCAAATCGCACCACTACGTATTATTTTTAAACAGTCAATTGAATGAAACTCATCACTATACATCAACTTTATTGACTATGAGAAATTATTTGACAACGTGTGTAAGAGAACCTTATAGATCCTCTTTCAGCATTATGGTGGACTGGAAAATGTGGAAACTTTCACGTACCTGGTCAGTATTATTGATAAACAAAAGGGTTCTAGAGCAGATATGAAGACAAGGAATGACAGAGCGATGACAGTAATCTTACAAGTGAGTAACATGTGGAACTCAAGTCAACTTTCAGCAATATAGTCAGAATTTTTAACACTAACGTTTAAACAGCTCTATTGTACGGAGTTGAGACTTCAAGCACTACGACAACTACCATCGAACAGCTGTCTACGCAAGATACTCCAGACCCATTGGTCGTATACCATCAGCAACAACCTACTGTGGGAGAGAACAAACCAACTTGCCACTGAAGAGGGAATCAGGAAGAGGCACTGCAGATGGAAGGGATATATTACGGTAACCATCAAACTGCATCACTAGGCAAGCCATAACTTGGAATCCTCCAGTTAAAAGAAAAAGAGGTAGACTGAAAGATAAACGGAGACGAAAATTATAGCCAAACATAAAAGGCATGAACAACGCTTGACAATGCTGGAAGAAGAACCAAGGACAGGATTGGTTGGAGACTCCCGGTCAGAGGTAATTTTCTTAGCACAAAGACCAATGAACAACAACACAAGACGTTAATACTTATTGGTCCTTTAGCTACTAATTCAGTAGCCAATTAGAAGATGAAGACGAAAGGAAGATTATTTCTCTTTTGTATTCCATTAAATTACTACTTAAAACGCATAAAATAAAATCTTGAAATGACGGACCATACAATACACCAAATAAAATATCTTACCATAAATAGTAGAGAGCGATACAAACAGTATATAATTAGCGATAACTAAGAAATAGTAAAACGTACAGCATTAGTTAATAGGTCCACTGTAAGCTTACAATAAGAGGAATATAGAAATGCAACAATATAGTTATCTACTAATTAAACAACACAAATACAGATGATAATACCTCGAAAAATACTTCCAACTTTCCCATTATTTATCCCGTTGTAAGAGTTTATTCAAACTAATAGTAAATTGTCACAAGTAACATTGTTTCTTTGTTTCATTCAAAATTGTAACAAAGAGCAATTCCTTATCTTAGTTTTGATTATCAAGTAATTAACAAGTGTTTTACTTCTAGTTGGAACTGTTCAACTATGCATAGTTTTAATTTTGGTGATCATAGAGTAAATACCAATACTGTAATTATTCTAGTTATTATCAGCAACTAGGTCTTGGTTTCAACTGGCTAGTAATGATTAAATTCTGATTTTTTGTTACACATTATGGTAGCTTGTAAAATGGTGTTGATTGTTTGCATAATTTGTAATTAGAAATAGTAAATTTATAGATTTCATAACTGTTCTCACACCTACTAACCTTTCTATTTAGTTACCATTGATTGATCGCTAAATTGTGACGAATGTCATATATGTCAAGTCGTTCATAGTGCTGGTCGAATTCTGTCGATCAAGTTGCACTGTGGCAACTAGTCTAAGTAACTCGATGTCGAGTGCAGTATGTTAAAATGTAAGATGATGGTTAGAGGCAGTGGACAAAAAATCCTGGACATGTTTTGTACTATTCGACACATGTCAGCAGTACTCTTGAGGGTTTTCTGTTGATTACCTCCAACCGTCATTCTACATTTCGGTATAATCTACGCGATTTCGAGTCACTTAGGCTAGAGACCACAGTGCAACTTGATCGATAGGATCCGACTAGCGCTAAGAGGGTTATTGGTCACCACTTAGTGACCAATCAGTTGTAAATACATCTCAGTCCACAGAAGGTCAGCTACGGGCCTGATAGCTCAGTAGTGACGTTTGTGACTGTGAAGCTGGGTGACTTGGGGTCGAATCTGCTAGGGACCACCAGTTCCTTCAAAACGACATGTGCAGCTTTCTGATCAATGCCAAATATCATGAAACCTAGGTCTATGGTTTCCTATCGACTGCTTCTACTTCTTCCATTTAGCATGAGTTATACTTGACTAAGTTGTTAGTAGCTCTTGCGTCGTAATCGATGTTCAAAGTTTCAATTTTAACCAAGTAATACCAACTGAATATTTAAATTTTCAAACGAGTAAATATTCTATATCATATAATTCGTTTGATAAATTGTCATGCAGTTTCTATTCTAAATGTTTATACGATAATAATCTACTAGTTTGGATAATTCGACTTTTTTAAAGAAATGTTTGGATTTAGATTCACGAATAGTGCATTTCGGATTAAGAGTACAAAACATCCATTTAAATCATTTGAACATTTAAGTCATTTTTGTAACTTGTTTTCAACTACTTATATCAATCAGTAGTATCTTTTCATATGTTATAAAGTGTATTGTGTTTATTTTCTTATAGAAAGAAGCTGACGAAATAATTGAAAGCAATAGTAAATAACAATTTGGATGTCATGTTCCATAGATGATATCATTTTTCTTACCTGACATCGATACACTTGTTCATCTGTAATGTGAATCTCCCTTTAACCATTATTTTCTTTTTTTTCTGGATTGTTATTTCTTGTGTACATATATAACCAATTTTAAAATAAAAACACTTACCTTATTTGTTTTTTTTAATCTGCTTTTAATGTTGTTGCAATATTGCTAAATTGCCTTGATTGTTCACATGCAACATTAGTCAGATACACTTGTCAAGATGGATATTTCTTTGTTCGTCGTTTGTGACATGAACGTTTTTGTTGTGAACGGGTAGGTTTTAAAACACTGAATCCAAAAAGCTCAAGCCTCGTCGATAATGATTTGGTCATATATTCTAATAATTCTTCCCTTAGCATAGTTACGTCAAGATCCAAAAGTTTGTTTTCCTCGGTGTAGTAAACCTATTTATTTAAAAGATTTGTCCATTTCTCCATTTTTGCTCGGAATTCCATTGAGTATGTTTTAGAGGTAACTCTTTATTCGTCTGATTTCTCAGGGGTTGATCATATCAAGTATGACGACTTAAACTTCTCTGTGTTAAGTTGTATTTAGGTTAAGACGTTTCCTTTAGGTGTTTGAGACATTTACAAAAGGTGATTAGCAACGAAAACGTTTTTGATATAATCTTAAGCAAAAATCTTAAATGTATTTCAGAATTTTCCTATCTCTCATGACATACTAGATCATCTAAGTGACTTTTCATCATAGGATTTCAACCGTTTGATATCGATGGATTCCTAAGAATATTGAAAGGTAATATGTTTGTTACTAAATTAAGGAATCCGTTTAAGCCACTTTAATCCATTACCTAACCCCATTGTTGATGAGTATAGAAAATAATTGAATGCTTATATTGTCCGATAGTGTATATAGTCAGTTCATACTTTTTATTATTTTATTTTGAGATCGTATTACAGCAGTTTTTCTCATTGATTGTCTGTGTAGTCAGCTTCCCTAATTTTGGAACTATCAACCCTGATGTTTCACTTTGTTTATTGTTTTCGAATTACATAACCTGTTTAGTTGTCGGCTAGATAAAATCTTTCCCTCTGATAATAGTAACCAACTTTTGATAACGGTATTTGATGAGTGAATGGTTTAAAAGTAGAATACTAACATATTTGAAATGTTTACTGTTAGGAATGAATGATGCTCAACAAAGATGCAGTATTTCAACGTACGGAATTAATCTCTAATTCTTTTAGTAATCTAAATATTTTTATAACGTAAAATTTATATATATATATATATAACTTGTGGCGGTCGGTATTCAATATAATTCTCAAACTTCTTATACTGTTCGTCCTGATAACCGTTACTAGATAACACCCAACAGTGTATAAGGTGTAAGATGAATACGAAGCGTCGATTACGTTTATTATCGCACCACACACAGATCACAAGAATGATATGCGAGTCCTGAAGAGAAAGTGAGTCAATGAACAGAATTAAAATATACATACATATACATAAGGAAATGAATGAGTTATTAAATCATTTAACGACTAACTCTAAAGCTAGCAGAATGAATATGTGCGGTAAGCAATGCTTGAGCATACATGTTCATGCAAGCTCAACAATAATAAAAGTACAATGGTATAGATAAGTTGTTGTTGTGCGAATGAATCTATCTGTTAAATAAGTTGATAAAAAGGCTTAACCAAATTAAATGTGAACAAACTCAAATGTAGTTGAGCTGCTATAAACTATCAATACGAATGTACAGCTGAAGTAAATGATTTTGTCGAGAAAATTTTCTCCGATATTTTTCTTCATTTTTATTCAAATTAGCATTGGATGCCGGCTCATTGGTCTATCGGTTAAGTGCTCTGGCGCGAGACTGGTAGGTCCTGGGTTGGAATCCCGCGAGTGCGGGATCGTGGATGCGCACTGGTGAGCAGTCCCACAATAAGACGAAACGGCCGTCCAGTGTTTACAGGTTTTTCATGGTGGTCTAGCTTCAACTGACTCATGATCTCAACTCTATAAAATTACTAAAATCTCCACAAAACCCCTTCTGATAATTTTTAAATTATTTAAGGTGATTTTCTTTGCGAACTGTTGTCAAATGATGAACCATTGTAATAACTAGTCTAGTGCTTCATGGATTTCAGTAATTATCCAATTGATTTTTTCTTATATTTTACTCATCTATCAAGTTTATATTTATCAACAACACAGAATAATACTATAATGGATCAATACCAATGACACTAACCTGATCGATCGAATCTAAATAGGACGAATGGCGTTTAGACCTGCCATCTAAAGGGTAAAATTTTCCAGATGATTTAATCATTATTACATTGATATCAGTTCATGATAAAAAGCTATCGTCAAATAAGTTTATCTTCAATATTTCTAGCTATCTACAAAAACCCTTCAGAAGTATCCTTAAGTGATCCCGAAATAAAATTATGATAGTCATCTCCTAAAGCACATAGATACTCCTTAATTGGTGATAATGTAAAAATTTTTTAATTAGTACGCTTATAAAAACAAGTAATAATTTTCAGCATTGAAATGTATCTATTCTACTTTGTATCATTAAAAATGACAGAGAAACAAATAGCTAAGCGTTAATTATACGTCTAATTGGAAGAAATATAGAAACATATATGGTTAGTTAATCAATTCAAACAACACAAACTGTTTGCTTGATAAATTTTTTAAAATCAACCATTTGACTGAATATGTATTTATAGTTATGAATCTTATGTAGTGGCTGATCCCTATGTCGAGCCCATATAACTTATTCTAGCTTCTGGACAGGCCAGTTTATTCATTCTTCTTGAATCATACATTTTGACCTTGTTAATTGTTCACTTGTCAACCCTGATTGTTTTCATATGAGCGCGTGTGCCCTTCCCATCACATGTCTGTAACTTAATTTTGTGTGTCTGTAAATATCGATTGACGCTTGATTGAAAAGGAGTTGCCTCGCATGCCTTCTCCACCGTTCAACATTTCGTTTCGCTTTGTTCATTAGGTCGTCTACCTAGATCAATGATTGTACAAAATATACGTGTTCGAAATCCTTTTTCGTTTTGGACTTATTTTAATCCCGTTATTTACTAATGAGAGTTAAGTCGATGATTATGTCCGAGGATAGCTAGGATGCATATTTCGATAACGACCATACATACTGTAGTGAATGAGAACACATGGGGGGGGACAATCGAACGTACTTGACCACAAAATTACACAATCTCTTAGTAAAATTTGAGAATCATACAGTAAATACTTGATTTGCAAAATACCGATCAACTGTCTCAAACTTCACTGTTCCTTTGCAAATGTCAATCAATCGTCTCATGTTTCATAGTTCTTTTATTTCCATACTAATCGCTTTCTATCCCCGTTCTTTCCTTCTCGAACTTCTGCTGTCAAACATTCTACTTCCGGCTAGTGTTATATACTACTTATGTCGATATAAGTTGCACAATACGATCTAATTGGAGTCAGATATAGGGCTACTAAACTTATAACGAATTACAAACAGTTTTAAATGAATGGGAATATTTTGGTGATAAAATAATCATGCATTTCCTCAAGGTTCGCGTTTCGCTAGCGACTGGATGACTTATAGTTGAACTGCCTGTTTTAAATACTATGTATCCATGTTAACTTTATGTAAATATGTTGTTGTAGTGCCGTGCTTCGATCATAGTTCGCTTTGATAACCGTCATTAATACCAATCTTAACGGTGTATAATATCAGAAGGCAAAGGGAAGCGGCAACTACATTTTTATTGATAATCGATGCAGACCAGAAAGTTGTAAGCACATGAGCAACTGTAAGCAAGCGAAGCAAAGATGATGCGTATTGGAGATGGCTGGGAAGCCAACTCATTTTAAGCAAGCGTTAACTAACATTTATAGGCAGACAAAAATGAGTGACAGACATATGATGAATAAGATACGAAGTGTACACATATGCGCTCATATAAAAAGTACTCAAGGTTAATAAGCAAATGATTAACAAGATCAAAAGATGACTCAATGTACAGGTGAATTGGCTTGGCCAGTAACTAGAATAAAGTATATGGGCCTAACATATGAACTGGTACTACATAGCCCCCTTGTAGAAAATAGCACATTTATAAAAAAATGTCTGTTTTCGAAAAATAACACTGAAGCGGTATGAGGATAACGTCAAAATGTGGGAAAAAATGGTACAATACCTGATAAATTACAGTGTCATGTGAGGGGTGAGCGTATTAAGCGAAAGTGTCATACTTATGTAAAAAGGAACATGAATATTGTCAAAGTGCGGACAAAAATAGAGATGCTAGCATGTGATTATGAGTACATTAGTAAGCGTTCGAAAAAATTTAACATGAATTTATGTAGTGACTGTCCGAATGATAAAATAACATGTTCGTATGAGCGATTTGAAATATAGTGAAAATAGAGTATAACAGTAATTGCTCTGTGGTGCTGATTGAATATGAGGATAAATAACAGTGAAATATGTTCTGATAAGCTGCAGTCGAGTAAATAGAGTCGATTGGCGATGAGTGGATTCGAATTTACACGATTGGAGTTTACGTGGGATAAAAAATAATCCAGCCGTAGGATGATGACTGCATCAACGGTTGATATTCATTGCTGTACTGCAATTGATAATGATAATAAAATGCGAAGTCAGTGTACGTTGTCATGTGCGTCAAGTTATCGTTAAATATGTATTAGTAGAATGACCATAGGAACAGGATAGTGACTGATGAAACGAGACATGCGGAGTCGTATTCCTTTATGGTCATGCAGCCTATCGTGGTTTGTGTAGTTAGAGGGATATGCGCTCAACCTCATTTGTTACGAAACCGTTTTAAGGCATTATAAAAATACCAATACATATGATTATCGATGACAGCGAGTGAGACTGACTTGAATGTGACGAACAAGAGTGTATCTTTGAGAGACTAGCTCTAAACTCTATGTTCTGGTGTACAGTACAATGGAAATAAAATATTAATTGCAGTAATCGAATTGTGATTATCGGTGATGGATGATGCAGCATTCAGATATACATGTGAATGAATAGATAATATGAAAATAATCATTACTAATCGGCTGGTAATGCGGCGTCGAATACTCGATTTGTGTATAAACATTAAAGTAGGGATCATCGTGAAACAAAAATTGCGGAAGTTCGGTTTAGATTGTCGCTGAAAATGTAGGAAACGACGGTTGCTGCGTAGCAATGAAATGAATGAACATTAGTTGTCTATCGAGAACATAAGTTACTACTATCGGGAGTGTGACTCCAAACTTATGTCTATGATAGAGTGTAATATTAAGCCGAAAATGACATGAAAAAATTGGAACGAACTCACTTGAATCAGGAAAATTGTACGTCATTGGATAATAAAAATAATCCAGTGAGTTTCGAATATGATAACGTGTAATGTCCAAATAATTATAATTTGTTCGATTAGTGATTCGACTGCGTGAATGTCATAGTTTAATGTGAATACGAGCAAAAATAATAATTCCACGTTAGATGATGATATGACATTATTGTAATAATGAGCATATGATGATTATTAGAATCAACGAAATATGACGTCGGCGGTTTCATTTTTGATTTGTGTTCACTCGTTGCGGTTGCCGATTCTGTCGCGTGTTCCAAATACGGCGTGCCAATTATGTTGTGAGTTCGTACGTCGAGGTTGTCGATTCTGG